TTGTGTGCTAGAGCATTGGACTAAGCCTGGGAAGATATAAGTTCAAATCACCACTCAGCCATGAGGTTCACTAGGTGACCTTGGGAGAGACTGTCTTGACTCTTCGCTGTGCTGTGAAGATAAAAATGTGGAGAAAACTTGCCTGAAATCCTGATTTCCTTAAAGGAAGGGAGGGATAAATGATACTAAATAGACTGCACCATACATCTTTCCCCCTTTTTCTTTTATACAATGTGTGATAGTATACCGTAATTTTCGCTCCAAAACACGCACTTTTTTGCTCCTAGAAAGTAAGGAAAAATGCCTGTGCGTGTTACGGAGCGAATGCACTCATGGCTGCCGTCAGTCAAGCAAAGCGGGAGCCGCTTGCAGGGCTTCTGTCCCACTCTAGCTTTGCTTGCTTTACAGCCAGGAGGAGGGGGAGGAGCCGGGGAGGAGGGAGGGAAGGAGAGCCATAGCAGCAAAGCAGGCAGCAGCCGCTTACACGGGAGAAGGGACAGATGGGAGCCATAGCGAGCCGGAAAAAACGCCGTGTAGCCAGCAACAGCTGCTGCAGCCTCAGCTAGCAAAGGTCCGTGCGCTCTCTAAATGGAGCAATGAGGCTGCAGAGGGACGGCAGGGCACAGGAGGGCTCTGAGCCACGAGCGCAGTGAAAACCAGTAAAAAAGTTTTTTAAAAGGCTGCTGGGGACAGGAGGGCATGGGATGAGGGAGAGGGGGGAATTACGATTCTCCCAGCGTCTCAGCTGATCCGCTGAGCAGGACTTGGGTTGCAGGGGACTTGGGTTGCACATCTGTGGCCACAGCATGAACCACAAAAATCATACATCCACTGTTTCGTTTAGAATATTTTTTTCTTGTTTTCCTCCTCTAAAAACTACGTGCGTGTTATGGTCAGGTGCGTGTTATAGAGCGAAAAATACGGTAATGTAATTTTTTAAATTACTGGTGAGAGTTTTGAATCTAATTAGAAAAGCAATACTTTGTATATAAATGTCTCATTGCATAGCTGGTGATCTCCTCTGCTGACATCCTCTTTTTCATGAATAAAAATGTTACACAAGAGAATGAAATCATTCAGCTGTGGCCTGCCATCACCTCTAAAGTAGAACAGATCTGAGGCTCTGTCTTTTGGATGCCAACTTTACAGTGTGGTAATAATCTTCTTGCAGTCAGCTAGTTGGAAATGACACTTCCCTGCTGCAGGCATTCAGTATCCCAAAATGTGCAATGAAAAAGGCAGGTGTGAGTAATTGATTTAACTGTTATGCTGTTCGTTCCCAAAATAGGCCTTCAGCCCCAATGGGGAAATGCTATGGTTTCATTATTTGGAATTTTGCAATCTAAGAAGTGTGCCCATCGTGCTTCCTCCATTTTGAAGCCCTAAGGGACAGCTCAGTTGGTGGAGCATGTGATGCTTCTTTTAATATTCATTTTTATTCGTTTTATTCAAGCATGTGACTCTTAATCTCCGCGTCATGGATTCAAGCCCCAGGTTGGGTGAAATATTCCTGCACTGCAGGGAAATGGACTAGATGATCCTCATGGTCCATCCCAACCCTACAATTCCATGATTCAGCAAGGGAGCAAAGGAGATCTGCAAGTAAATACAGGCTTCTTCAATCAAATTCCTTTTCTGGGCCTGGAAACATCCATGGAGATGGGATGTGAACGTACATCTACAATGCAGTACCATTCTGGATGCAGAACATCAAATGCTATCTCTATCTGCATTGTAAGCATGAGTGGAGACATGATTCCAATTGGCTTGCACTGCAGAAGTGCAGGGGCCTTCAGACTGAGAACCTCTTGTCCTGTCCTGAGCTCCTAGACCTGCACAACATAATGGGCATCATGGTTAACTCTGAGCTGGGGCTGCTTTGTTTCCAAGTTCCCTGGAGCTCTGTAGCACAGCACCTTCATTAGAAGCACTTCCATGATATGTACCCCTCACTCACATTGTGAAATACAGGTGGATGCATTAGCCATGTGTGGTAATCTGTGTGTGCATGAGAGTGTACTTGTGTGTGCATATGATTAGGGGAGTTTTTTAATGACTGATGTTTTAATGTATTTTTAATCTCGTGTTGGAAGAGTGGCTGGGGAATAATAATAATAATAATAATAATAATAATAGAAATGTAACACATAAAATGACCTTCAGAATGTCCTGGTCATTCCAATATTTGCATTAACCAGAGAAGCAAAGGAAAACACTGTGCCTTTGCTTGCATTTCTCTCTGCTCACCTTTACATATGGATTTCAGCAGATGAGAAGCTGCAGTTAATGTCTTTGATACAAAGACTCACCCTTTGGCACAGAGTCAACAAGTTCTTTAATCTGACCACATCCAAACTGGATCAGACCGATACATTAGTCTCCATAGGAGCATAGAATCTGTGTAGTCATGTCTTCCAAGGAATTTGTTGCAAGCGCCACACTTCAAGCAGAGTAAACAGAAAAAGTGGAGTAAAATTTTGCATCCCCAATGTGACTTGAATGACCAGGAGTGCCATCTTCCTTAACCTGGAGCCCCAGGCAAGCCATTTCCAACCTTGGGTGCCCAGATGTTAGACTACAATCCCCATCATCCCAAGCCAGCATGGCCAAGGTTCATGGATGGGTGGGGGTTGTGGTTCAAGAACAAACTGGGAATGTCAACACACATCAGTTTAGGACAGAGCAGGCAGGCAGGCAGGCTCAGAACAATATGTGACTGCTGGTGAGCCCTTTTTGAACTTTGGCTGCTGCTTGGCGTTTGGCCCTGCCACTAGAGTATGCCTTGACAGGGAGTTATGGCATATTCTATGTTTGTACCCATATGATTCATGTACTTGCAACTGTGCATTCATATGTCACCTTTTGGGGGGGCACATAAAATATTTTACGTGTACATGTGCCGTGCATGTCTACACATGTGTACTTGGAAGTAACTCCCATCTAGTCCAGTGGAGTTTACACCCAAGTCAGAGTGTACAGGACTGCAGCCCAAATGTGCAAAGCAGCCCTTACAGATGGAAGGAAAGCGAAAAGTGGTTTAAGCTTATGAAAACAGTCTTTATAGTCAAGGCCTGGTAGCCTCAAGACTTCGATGGAATCCATCCAGCTGAGGTATTTGACATTGTTCTGTTGAGGGAAAGAGTCATAAACGTGGTTTAATGTGGATGGCGAAGGCAGTTTATGGTGACTTAGTGTTCCCAGAATAAAGCAGAGAAACAAGAACACTGGGCCATTTAATGAGGCCTTTTCTTGGAGCAGAGAGAATTATTTTCATTTATCCAAAGCCAAAAAATGAAAGTATTGCTCTATAGGTTGGGATGGGGGGTGGAATCCAATTGTTGGCAGTCATAGGTACAGTAGAATATTCAGCTGCTTCACATGCTTAAGCTTTGAGTACTGTTAGTTTAATATTAATGTGGAATTTTGATTGCCAACAGCCTGTTTCCCACCTGCTCTGAATCCTAAAGAGGTGCCTGTGTTCCAATGGTTGGATCCCAACTAGCGAAACCATCTAATTTGAGCTGGAAGTTGTTGGGGAGGGATAATTGGAAGCCGCTTTGAAGAGAAAACTGCTTTTTAATTGGAAAAGTGCAATTCCCTCCCCACCTTGCCCTGAGTAGAATGATGGGGGCATAAGCCCAAGCTTTACAGGGACTGTGTCATGCGCAAATGTTTGCAGAATGATGTCAGGGTATTAGCAAGCAGCTCAGGCTTTCATAAGTGGAAAGTGAACATTTTGGATCTCCCAAAAATGTATTTGCACCCCACTTAAAAAGAAATCTTCCCAGGGTTTCTTATACCACATCGTTTTTTACTTCTTTATTTGCTTAACAGATTACTCTCCTGCCCTTCTAATGTCTATGTGCTACTTAGGGTGGCTTAAAACAATTTAAAATAGAAAAATAGAAAAAAACAAGAAAAAAACATAAAAAGCAATTAAAATTAAAATGCATTAAATATTAATTTATTGTTTTTAACAAATTGGTTTTTGTAGCAGATGAACTGGCAGAGAGACTATAGAGAAAGTATGACCATTATGGCTGATAGCAAACAAAAGCCTGCTGGAATAATCATGTTTTCACAAATTAGTGAAAGACAGCCAAAGAGGAGCTTCACAGAGCAAGGTGTTCTGCAATAATGAGAGGTGTAGCCACTGAAAAGTCCCTGTCTCTTGTTACTCTCCACCCTTTGTGGGACACAGAGAATGGTCTCTCCTTCTGAGCTTGGACTCAGGCAGCATGGGATGGTAGGAGGGGATCCTTCAAGTATTTTGGAACAAAGACATATCACCAAGATTTTACAATCATACTCTTTGTTAATTAATCTAGAACAAAGAGCATGTCTCCTTTTGTTCACACTGATATTAACTAGTGCAGATTAGAATCACTGATTGCTGCATAAGCATATTTATTTATGAAATCCTCAAAAGATTCCATCAACAGTGTCTCTGAAATTTTTTACATATCACTTGGGAAGACAGGCGAACTAATGTCACCAGTGTCAAAGCAATGATTCTTCAACATCAACTTCATCGGACTGGTCATGTTGTTCGGATGCCTGATTGCCGTCTTCCAAAGCAGCTACTCTATTCCAAACTTAAGAATGGAGAGTGAAATGCTGGTGGACAACAAAAGAGGTTTAAAGACACTCTCAAGGCAAATCTAAAAAGATGCAGTATAAGCATGGATAATTGGGAAACACTGACCTATGAGTGCTCCAATTGGAGAATGGCCTCTACCAAAGGCACAGTGGACTTTGAAGAAGCACGAACTCAGGGCAAAAAGGAGAAACGAGCTAAGAGGAAGGCACATTTGGCAAATCCTCACTGTGATCAACCTCTGCCCAGAAACCTATATCCCCACTACAGAAGGACATGTGGATCCAGAATTGGTCTCCACAATCACTTACAGACACACTGTTAAGGCCATATTCATGGAAGACAATCTTACTCAAATACAAGTGATCGCCAAAGAAGAATATTTATTTATTTTATCCTTTTCCTCCATTACATCCTGTCTTTCCAGTAATAACAAATTCTCCAAATGGCTTACAATTAATAATAAAAAAAAATGAAACCACTCTTGAGAATTTCAGCTCTGTGAGGGGAAGCCATGACTGTTTAAAGTGGTATGATACAGCTTTAAATGTCTAGTGCAGATGGGGCCAGAGTTTGTCTTTGTTGCTAGACTTATTTGTCCTTTTGGACTGCAATCCTGCACCCACTCACTTGGAACTTAGTCCCATTGTACTTAGTAAAAACAGCAGTGGCTAACATGTGGTCTTCCAGATGATGTTCCACCAGCTCCAGCCAGCATAGCCAATGATCAGTGATGATGGGAGTTGGAGTGCAGCTACATCTGGAAGGTCACGTGTTCCCCACCCCTGAAGTAAACAATTCTGACTGGTCTGTGAATGTCTGCACTGAAACTACATGGTGGACACTTTTCCCACTGCAGGATTGCTTGATCCCTGAGTTTTGATGCCATGGAAACTAGAAAAAAATTGCCTCAGATACCTACTACTCTGGCTATTCACCAAGGTTAAGGCCCTGATCTACGATTTTCACTACAGTATTCCAAAAATCTACAGAGGCAGAGCGTTTTGCTTTCCAACTCACTTCATAACCTATTAGGTCTACTTGAATGGTTCCCAGATGTGTTGCAGTGTCGAAAAAGGTAAATTGAGTTTTATGAGATTATCTGCTATACTTGGATTCTCTTCATGTGAGGGGCGGGGGATAAAGCAAAGTTGGGGCCAAGTCATTTTATGCATTTATCGTTTATTTATTACATATATAATAAATTACAAACCTCAAAACAAACATATTAAAAACCATATGAAATATCAAATCATGGCATTCTTTTAACCAAAAAAATCTGACAAAAGCTAAAGGCAAAACTTAGACAGTATGAGAGATGTGTGGCTAGAAACTGTGGGTATTGTTTTGAAAAAAGGAAAAAAGTCACATGGAGGAGGGTTAAAGCTCGATTGGTACCTTTTCATGTGGGAATTGGAATTTAATCCTTCCATCTGTGCCTCAAGCATTTAAGAACATAAGAGCCCTGCTGGATCAGACCAAAGACCCACCTAGTCTATGATCCTCTTTTCACTGTGGCCAGCCAGATACCTATAGGAAGCCCCTAACCAGGAGATAATTGCAACAACACTCTCCCCAACTGTGTATCTCAGAAACTATCTCTGACACTGTAGGGTAGCACATAGTAAGAGTGGGCACCAGCCCTGATATTCAGCTTCTATCTGTACCAATGCTTTTCTTTTAAAAATCTAATCTGTTTGTAAGTCACTCTGTGGTCTGGCAACTTCATTCTGTGAATCAGGTTTTAAGCTGCTCTGCATAAAACAAAGCTCTGTAATCCTCATTCACTCTTCTAGGGAGTCTAAGGGTGGCCGCACATTTTTTTTCCTTTTTGGCAAAAGTGGATGAAATTTCCAGGCACAGGAACCCCTCCAGAGTGAACTGAGCCTACTAAATGGCAGACAAATTGGTCCAGGTGCTTTTGTGGGGGAAGCAAAAGGATTTCACTTTCATCCATATTAGGGCAATACTTTATTACACCAACTAAAAGTCCAAACTTCATATTAGTTTCATATTTTTGAAGTGGGGAGTGTTTGTTTCTTGCTCTTTCTTACCTTAAAATAAATAAGAGGTGGCTGAGTATGGTGTCTTCTTGATTGTACACTTTCAAACACATTAGCAGCTTCACAATGGCCAGCCTAACTTTCTGGTACTTGTTTGTGTTTGGAGAGAGGGCACATCTTCCAGAAGGCATTGCAGACTGAAGCTGTGCAGAATGCTACCCATGGAGTGCTGAAGAGCTCCAGAGGATTTTATTTTCTACCATAGAAATGCATGGTTTTTAAAAAAGTTAAATCATCCACACCTCTTCAGAGCTCTGAAGGCAGCATTCTGGACAACCTCACTTTATGCAAAATCCATGGATCTTGAGAAACATAGGAAAACATAGAGATATAGTATTAGGAGAGGAGAGAGTACAGAAAAACAGTGACAGACCAAAACAAGCCTTTCTAGGGGCTCTGATCTGACTTGGAGTGCTTTGTTCACATTGCAGAAGTAGTATTCACACCTTAAGGAAGAGCTTTCCAATCTTTTCATGTTGGTGACACGCTTTTTAGGCATGCATCATTTCATGACACAGTAATTCAGTTTTACGAGCAAACTGGAGGTTAAACCGACCCCTTTCCAGCCCTGGGAGAAGCGTGGGAAGCGTTCACAAAACACACGTACACACTGCAACTGACACACTAATGTGTTGCAACACACAGTTTGGAAAGCTCTGCTTTAAAGGCTAAGAACAGGATCAGTCCTAAATCAGCTGCCATCAGTTTTTCATCTGATCTGCATGCTAATCTTGACGTTTATTTGCTCACTTGGCAACCCAAGAGCACATATCAACACAGGATCCTTGATGTTTCTGTGGCTGTACTAGCTCAGCAGACCCTTTCAGAAGTGACACAAAGGGCACTGCTATAGGGATCAATCTCTTGTGAAGATCGTAAATATGATAGAGCAGCCTTGCCAACCTGGTGCCTTGCAAATGTTTTGGAGTTGCAGTCCAAAAACATCTGGAGGGCATCAGGTTGGAGGAGACAGTGATACAGAGAGGGGTAAAAACTAAAACCATTTAAAAATCAAATGTGCATTCTGTCCAAGGAAGGTTTTTTCTTTCACCGCAAAAGCAGCCATAGTGTGTCCCCCAGTCTTACTGTTTGCAGTTTCCCCTCTTCATTCCTAGGTCTAAATTGAACTGGGACAGGGGGGTAGACAAACAGCTAAACAATGCTGAAATGTGGGCAACCCCCTAGAATGTGTTCCTAATTTCATTTGCATATCCATCAGTAACCACATGAATGCTTGTGCTGTTCTTCATCAAATATCCCACATGTTGTGCCGACGCATGGGAAGTCTCTGCTTTCGAATGTCGAGAAATGTTGGTTTCTCCTCAATCTCTCTGAATCTGCTTTCTCTCTTTCTGATTGAACTGTGGAGGTTGCATTGTTGCATTCTTTCTTGAAACAACTAGCGTTCTTCACATGGCTTAAAAAGCCCTTTCCCTGTAGAGTCCAAATTACGTGTTATGTTGTGGGCATCTGTCTGTCTCAAGAGACAATGGAGCACGCCTCTGGGGGTGAAGTCAAACCACTGCGTTAGCAGCATTTAAGTGACTTCACTGGGGCACAAGCCTGGGCAGTTGTGTATAGAGGTCCTGGGTTCACTAGTGATTAGAACATATTATGTTAGTAACATTTTTATTTTAAATGTGTTCTTTACATTGCAATTTTTTCCTTTTAAAAAAATAAAAAACAATTTATTTATATTTATATACATTTAGTATTCAAAAACAATTATAAACAATAAAATGAAATTAACAACTGCTTTACAATATAATCAGTATTTCATAAAATGGCACCTTATCCTGAATATTATTGTTGCTACACAAAACAAAAATGTTTTGAGAATGCTTTTATTTCCTAGTCTCCCATCTCTGACCCTAATAAAGTCAGTGAGTTTTAATATAAACACAAGATCCAAAACCCTCAGCAATTACACAAACCTTCTTAATCATTTGGGATGCCTCTAGACATCCATTTGATTTAGCGGTTATACACAATCACAGTTTCAATACCATTGCACAAGTCCTGGCTTACGCTGCTTCATTTGCAAAAAGTCCATGACCTGTACTTTCCTGGAAAAAAAGACTGTAACTTTTCATACCATAGATGTTCCAGGAAGCTTTCTTTTTTGTCCTGCTTTTACTGCACTGTATAAACAACCGTGTAGTGGCAAATTCAGAAGTGCAGGGGTCCCTTCTTGAGAGTGACAGCTACTGTATATCCTCTCACAGCCATGCCCTCTTCTATGTTCTAAGATTATTATTACTATATAATTACAGCTCCCATAATTCTTTGGGGCAGTCATGGCTGTTTAAAGTTGTATAACAGTGCATTAAATGTATGGTGTCCATGTGGCCTCAGACTTCTCAAATGACTGTGGGCTCTTATTGTATAATATGACTTGCCTCGCAGATCCTGAAATCCTCCTTCTATCGTGGTATTTAGTGCACATGTTCCAAACAATCTTTTTCTTTTTTCTTTTAGTTGCTACAAAGCATCTACTTGGGGTTTCCTTCTATTCATAGTGTATTTTCAAAATGTTTCCTCATTGGTTTCTTACACACACACACACACTTTTCTGAAATTTAATTATTGTATCTTTGCTCTGCTGTCAGAGGTGATGGTGACACTCCCATATGGTGCATGGGCTTAACAAAAAACAAAGCCTCCAAACCCATATGTTTACTTCAACAGCTATTAATACAAGTGACTTTAAAGGCTTCTCAACATATGTTATCCATCTTTACCATCTAGCATAATATAGCAAGAGTGTTTATGTTGTGAGCCTCAGATGTCATTGGGAACCACTGTTTAGCATTTGTGTCACGTTGACAAATGTCTCTCCTTTTGCTCCTCTTCCTTCTGTTGCCTCCTCTGCTCTCGAAATGGAGAGTGTAAGCTCCTTGAGGCAGAAGCCCTTTCTTCCACGTTGATGCATGCCAACCCAATCTCCAAGAGGTGTGAGATTCCAGGGGTTTCAGATGCTTACCCAGGGACCATGTTTCCTTTGGAATTAGATATAGCAGAAACTGTGGTGTCTTATGATATATGGTTTATTTACACACATATACAGCCTGAGCCCACAATGGAGGGGTTCACAGCATTATTACCCCAAGAGGGTCTTGCTTCACTCATAGCACAGCCTTGGATCCAAATAGAGATTAGGCATCGCTCTTCTCCACAGGTTTCAGCCTGCTTATTCTCCAGCTTCTAGCTTACACACTCCTACTCTCTGCTCTCAACTCTGCCTTTCCCCTTCCAACTACCGACAAGTTGAGGGAGGGGGTGCAACACAGAGCCCCTTCCTTTGTTCCCATTAATGGCCCATCACCCAGACTAGCACCTCCCTAAGAAACTAGCCTGGTTATTCCAAGAATTAGGGTCCAGGCATTCAGCCTAACCATCACTCCACATCCACACCATCAAACTCATGCTACTTTGTAAAGTGCTAAGTTCTTTCTTTCTTTCTTTCTTTCCTGCATTTTTGTAAAAATATAAGGTGGTGTGTACCATATACAAGAATTATAATATTAAAACATCAATAAGGCATCAGGAAAAATATCAGGCCAACTCACTATAAATAAAAGAAAATTCACATTTCCAAGGCTTGTTTAATTTTTAGGCAATGTCTAAAAGAAGGCAGGAATAGCTTCTTCCAAACCTCTACTGGCCGGGAGTTCCACAGGGCAGGGTCTGCCACACTAAAAGTTTGGTCCCTAGTAAAGGCTGATTAAACCTCAGAGGTGTGAGGAACCATAGAAGTGCCTCATTAGAGGATCTCAGTGACTGAGGTGGAGCATTGATGGCACTAGTGTGCATGTCTGGCTACTGATCACATTGTTGTGTATGTATGTATAAATGCATCATCATCATCATCATCTTATTATTAATATGACTTTGCTTCTACCCTGCCTTCTGAAGAGTCTTGGGCAACCATGCAACATCCTAATTAAAACATTCTAATTAAAACAATTTCAAAAGTTTAAAACAACCAAAAGGCCATTTCAAAACATGTACAGCAATTTCCATCTGCTTAAAACCTACCCACTGTTCACATACTAAATGCCTTGGTGGACAAAAATGTTTTCAGTTTGTGTTTAACTGATGGTAATATAGAGGGACAAGCAGACTTCCATAGGGAGGGTGTTTCATAATCAGGGCACTGCCCTCTAGCCATGCTCATTGCTGACACTGTGAGCAAGGCCACCCCTGCTGCTCTTAAGGCTCAGGATGGTTGAAATGGGAGAGGCATGTTTTAGGTACTTGTGCCCCAAGCTGCCTTCTACCACCAGATTGATTTTGACCCACCAGCTCACAGGCTGCCAATGCATTGCTTCTAGGACCAGCAACACATGGTATTACCTCACTGCTTAGCTCAGCAGTCTGCCTGTCACATTTTGCACCAACTGCAGTTTCTAGATTGTTTTCAAGGGTAGCCCCATGTAGAGCACACTGCAGTAGTCCAAATGGGAGGAGAAGTAATTAATCCATCTGCTGAAAATATCCCTGGTTTGGGCCCAGAAGTTGACATCCTGGGATTTGATGATCTTGTCTCGAATCCCTTTATTTTTTGAGGATATTTATATCCCACCTCTTTTGCATCATGGAAATCAAGGCAGTGCAATGTACACAACATCCCCAGGCAATCTCCTGTCCAGATCCAAATGCACTTAGCTTCAAGTGGCTGCCAAATGTCAGATAATTTAGTTGTTGCAGGCGAGATCTGGAGCTGACTCAGGTTTCCTCAGCATGTCATAGTCCCATCCTAGAATCAACTTCTCCAACTTCTCCATGACAGCAGGGCAGCTGTCACTTTTTAAAGTGTGCGAATATGTGAATGAGGTCTATCATGCGAGTCTTTCCTCTAGAATAGTACTCATGCTCTTGGTGGTGATAGTGGTGGGTAGTGCCTATTCTGAAGGAAAGATCCTGACCCTGGGCCCCGCCCATGTGGTTGCAGGCTTTTAAGTATGGCAGCAACACTGTTGGGCGAATTCATAGAAAAGCAGCTCCCGTGATAGGCTGGAATATGTAGACAGCACCTAAGGGAGCATCTCTGGCTAAGTGATTCTAGTGTGCCTGCAGAAAGGGAGATCCATTCGATCAAGACATTTCTCTGTGTGTATGTGGATTTCCTTTAGGAGCAAGGGTTTTTCACTTAGTGGAAGCAAAGCCTTTGCTAAGTGGAAGAGACAGCAAAAGGGTGCCTGTCTATGAACCCATCCTTTCTACTGAACCCCAGAAGAGGAGACGACCATTCATGTAGGAACTTCATAGATGTATGGAGCACTGTGCCAGCATCTGAATGTTGTTTTCCTTGGCTTTTTTTTTATTAAATCCATATATCAGCTGCATCATGTATACTACAGCTGGTTCTGCGATAAATAAATAAATGCATATGGAATGATATGTTGAATAAAACATAAATCTGAGTGATATGAATAGAATTTTAATAAAATTAAAAATATTGGCTTATAATTTTAATCATTTCAAAAGTTTTGGGCACTGACATCAAAACATTCTGGATCTGGATCTCACTGCTTCCCCACCAAGATGCAATCAAGATAATTTTTTATTATTGACATATTCCCTTTGCCAGTTTATAAATTGGGTGTAGAGGCATTCAGAACATGACATTTGTATTGGAAAAATACTGTAATGTGGTTTATTCTCGGCCCCTGCCCGCTGAATACTCAAACAAATAAACAAAACGTGACATTTTTATTAAAATTCACCAGGTCCCTTGGAATGTCCTTTTGCTCTCCACAAGCCCTGATTTAAAAGAGAAATGTGTGTTTTTTGAAAAATACTTCATTCTGACTACAACATGTTCATATTAGTGAAATGCTTGAAAAGTTGCTTTTCAGGATCTATTTAGTCTCCAAGCCCAGAGGAATAGCTCCATCCTCTAAGAGTTTAGAAATCCTTAGGACCCAGCAGGAGAGATCAGTTATAACTATGGAGGAACAAGCTCATCTCTAAGTTAACTTAGTTGGTGTATTTAAAATGTTTTCATGTATAGCAGGTCATTTATATACAGTAGTAGGCATGAAATTAAAATGTCAAAGAAAGAAAGAAAGAAAGAAAGAAAGAAAGAAAGAAAGAAAGAAAGAATTGACACTGACCTTGGTTGTCTTGTGCTTCTGATCCATGCTTCTGATGCATGAACGTAGACTGGTGCCTCTCTCGCCCCACTGAGTGGCATCCTTGAGGCACTCCAGGTCTCTCAATCTTGACAGATTTTTTTTTGGGGGGGTGGACCCATCTCTTCTGTTTTGTTTAACCTATATTGGAATTGTTTTACTTATCTTTCCAATTGAATGAGCTTTTTTAAATTTCATGATAAGTTTGTTGTAACCCACCCTGTGGCAAAGGGCAGGTAAGAAATCTTACAAATGAATGAAATCAGTACAGTGGTACCTCAGGTTACGAACTGAATTCGTTCCGGAGGGCTGTTCTTAACCTAAAACCGTTCTCAACTGGAGGTACCACTTCAGCTAATGGGGCCTCCCGTTGCCGCTAAGCCACCACTGCACTATTTTTATTCTCATCCTGGGGCAAAATTCTTAACCCAAGATACTACTTCCCGGTTAGCAGAGTTTGTAACCTGAAGTGTATGTAACCCAAGGTACCACTCCACTGTATCTGTTATTTGGAGTCTTTTCTCAGCCATGCCCCTCTACCTGTGCCACACCATTCATCATCCCTGCTTCAAATTGTCCTTGAATAATATTTGCCTAGCTGGAATGTGCCCTTGAACTCTGATCGTGCTTCTTGCTTGCCTAGATGGACAACAGTGAGAGGGATGTGTAGAAAACAGCCTGGCAAACAAAGGTACAAGTGTGACCTTCGGAAAGCTGGCAAGAATCAAATGCAACCATCTGGCTGGGAAAGTCTGTCCCCCTCCAGCTACCAGCTGCTGAACCAGCTGCTGTGGGCCCTCCAGATGTTGTTGCTACGCAACCATCATCAGCCTCAGTCAGCATAGCCAAAGGTCAGGGAAGAAGGGAGTTGGAGTTCAATATCTTTCAGTGAGCCACAGATTCCCCAATCCTGCCACAGACTGTAGGGACAGAGGTGAAAAGGTAAAGGTAAAGGGACCCCTGACCATTAGGTCCAGTCGTGACCGACTCTGGGGTTGCGGCGCTCATCTCACTTTATTGGCCGAGGGAGCCGGTGTACAGCTTCCGGGTCATGTGGCCAGCCTGACTAAGCTGCTTCTGGCGAACCAGAGCAGCACACGGAAACGCCGTTTACCTTCCCGCTGGAGTGGTACCTATTTATCTACTTGCACTTTGACATGCTTTCGAACTGCTAGGTTGGCAGGAGCAGGGACTGAGCAATGGGAGCTCACCCCGTCAGGGGGATTCAAACTACTGACCTTCTGATCGGCAAGTCCTAAGCTCTGTGGTTTAACCCACAGTGCCATCCGTGTCCCAGGGACAGAGGTAAAGGCTGGCAATTGGGGCAGCTAATTCTACTTCTCTCTCCAGGAGTAGAACTGTGTTTGGCAAGATGTGTTGCTACTTGTGTATTAAGCCGATCCCTAAGATCAGGTTCGTCAGAAGATATTAGGACAGCCTACCCCAACCTGCTGGCCTCCAGGTGTTTTGGACTACAACATCCATCAGCACCAGCCATCACAGCCCTTCTGTCTGAGATTGGTAGGAGTTGCAATCCAAAACATCTGCAGGTCACCAGGTTGGCAAAAGCTGCACTCGAAGTTTTCAAACAACAGATTACTATTTACCTGCAGTATCTCCTCTATTGTAGAGTGATCTTCCATTTTGCTTTTGCTCCTGCTGCCCTCTGATTTGAATGGAGATAGACCACCTTGGTTATATACTCAAGTTCTTTGGGTTTGTTGGGCTGCAGCTGAAGACTGATCCCAAAACTCACCACAGGATGAGACCTGCTTGTTGTTGTACTGGTGCAGCAATCTTGTTGTACAAACATTGCTATGATTTTGTGTCATTGCAAAGGTCCAGGAGCAGGGTGTGTAGCCTTCCCCCTGTCCACCCCCAGCCTGCTCTGACTGAATTCCTTTTCACCTCCACCCTTGTTGAAGCGTCAACATTAGTATAGAAGCCAACTCCTAGGGGCCAAGGTCCCTTCACCCCCCGCCCCCATAAAATATTTGAGGAGGCTGCCCACCCAAGCTGATGGGCATCGCCATTCAAATGGTGTGTTTGTGTGTGCTGTGTCTTGTGATCAATTATGTGGGGTGAGGCTTACCTGGCACTCCCCTCCCCCTCATATTTTACTTGAGTTGGCACCCCTGAACATTACTGGGGTTAGAACTGCAGAGACTTCCATGGATTTGGGATGGGAGCCAATGAGGTCAGGTCTCCAGTACTGTACTGCTGTGGGGAACAAGCCTTACTTGAGATGACCATGCTGTAAGATCTGGACTCCTTCCATCTAAATTCAGGTGTCAATTTATGAATAAATCATATTTCTTAAAGCTATGACAGCCTCCACCACATATTGATTCTCAAAGGAACACAGAGCCTTGGTGAGTACCTGGAACCGACTGAAATCTTGCCACAGCTCAGCAGAGATTGGGGGTGACAATCCTTGTAACCATGTTTTCCCCTTATATTGCTACAAGTTAAAGGTGTGGGCGGAGGTTGAACATGAAGGGAGAGACATAGACTATCCCTGTGGCGACTCTGCCTTTGACTACAGCCCATTCAAATTGCTGCCTGTAGAAATAAAGTTAAATGGCTATAGTAGTTTCTGTACGTGTTTTTAAATAGTACTGAGCAGAACTATATCTGTAAGATATCTGTTGCTATCGGGACTGTGAATTTAATCAAAACACCTCTCCTTCTCTTTTCAAAACATCACACCCTAAAAATAAGTGGTACATGTACATATTTTGATGTTTATTCCTACTGGATCGTGAACAAAATGGATCTGACAACTTTTCCCGAGTGGCTCTTCAATAGTCACTTAATGGAAACGTTGGAACGGAGAAGTCTCTTTAGAGTTCTTTCCTTCACTTGCCTCTGAACAGAACCTTAATGGTGTGTTTACGGCCTTGAGCTATGCTGCCTGTGAAGAAAAGAAATCGTGGGTGGGTGGGTGGGGTGGAGGGAGAAGCTGGAAAACTCTAGGAAACACGTTTCTGCCGGTGAGGCCTCTGGAGTTGCCCATGTGTGTCCCACATTGTGCCTTGCGCACGCTTTGATGTTTCTCTCCCCCCATCCCCACATGTAAAACATACCTCATGGCCATCTTCCTCCCAAATAGGTGATCTGAAAACTCCCACTGATTCGGGGGATGGGGGCAGTAGGATTGCCTCTGAATACGCTATACACCAGAGATGTGTGTATGTACTTTTAAATCCGGCATGCTTATTCAGAAACAAGTTCCCCTGCCTTCCGTGTGGCTTCTGTTTAGGATTATTGCTGCTTCAGTGTATACAGTGGTACCTCAGGTTAAGTACTTAATTCGTTCCGGAGGTCCATTCTTAACCTGAAACTGTTCTTAACCTGAAGCACCACTTTAGCTAATGGGGCCTCCTGCTGCCGCCGCACCGTCGGAGCATGATTTCTGTTCTCAACCTGAAGCAAAGTTCTTAACCTGAAGGACTATTTCTGGGTTAGCGGAGTCTGTAACCTGAAGCGTATGTAACCTGAGGTACCACTGTATTCAGACTCTTTTCTTCGTTGCCAAATATCTCTTAAGATGCTGCCACCATGCGAGCTAAGAAGAGTCAGTTTTGATTGTCCATTAATGAATTAATTGCATTTCTATCTCACCTTTTTCTCCAAGGATCTCAAGGTAGTGTGCATGGTTCTTCCCACTCCTCATGTAATCTCCACAACAACCCTGTGAGGTAAGTCAGATTGAAGGTCACCAGTGAGTTTCATGGCCAAGCGGGGATTTGAACCCTCATCTTCCAGGTCCTAGTCTGTCACGACACCACACTACTTTCTGAAGGAGCGTCTCCACCCCCATCATTCAGCCTGGACACTGAGGTCCAGCTCCGAGGGCCTTCTGGTGGTTCCCTCGCTGCAAGAAATGAGGTTACAGGAAATCAGGCAGAGGGCCTTCTTGGTAGTGGTGCCCACCCTGTGGAAAGCCCTCCCATCAGATGTCAAGGAAATAAACAACTATCTGACTTTTAGAAGACATCTGAAGGCAACCATGTTTAGGAAATATTTTAGTGTTTGATGTTTTATCGTGTTTTTTTATATTCTGTTGGGAGCCGATGGGTGGAGTATAAATATATTATTATTATTATTATTATTATTATTATTAGTCATCATCCTAATTGTTGTAGGTAAGGATTGCAGCCTTAATCCTTACTTTTCCCATTCCCCTTGGAAGGAACTATGGAGAACAGGAAGGGAACAACCAAAATGTATAAGAGAGAACTGTAGAAAATAGGAACATCAAACGCTGCCTTATACTGAGAGGGACCTTCAGGCTATCTAGCTCCCTATTGTCTACACTGACCGGCAGCAGTTCTTCAGAGTTTCAGGCAAGTGCATTCCCAACCCTATTTGGAGATGCTGGGGATGGAACCTGGGACTTTTTGCATGCAAAGCAAAAATCCTACTGCATTAGCCATGACCCATATCCATCTGGCAGCTTCTTGAGAAATATTGCTGCTTGATGTGTTTCCCTTCCAACAAGCTTCCCTTTCAAAACTTAAGCCACTGAGGTCTGTACATGAGAGATGTGCACAGAGGTCACCATACATGCAGATGGCAGTTTCATGAATAGGAGTTCGGGGAGGGGTTGCAGGTGTGGGGAAACCAGACAGGTAATATGGATTGGGTGAGGACATCTCCATCATCTCTCTAGTGTGTACAGCAGTGTGCAATGCAACTTGAAATGCGAGGAGGGTGGAAATCAACCTCATTGCATTTTAAGCTGCTAATGTCTACATAAGGGACACGGGTGGCACTGTGGGTTAAACCACAGAGCCTAGGACTTGCTGATCAGAAGGTTGGTGGTTTGAATCCCTGCAACGGGGTGAGCTCCCGTTGCTCGGTCCCTGCTCCTGCCAACCTAGCAGTTCGAAGCATGTCAAAGTGCAAGTAGATAAATAGGTACTGCTCCGGCAGGAAGGTAAACGGTGTTTCCGTGCGCTGCTCTGGTTTGCCAGAAGTGGCTTAGTCATGCTGGCCACATGACCCAGAAGCTGTACGCCGGCCTCCTTGGCCAATAAAGCAAGATGAGCGCCGCAACCCCAGAGTCAGCCACGACTGGACCTAATGGTCAGGGGTCCCTTTACCTTTAATGTCTACATAGCCTAGCAGAGTAGTCTTCCACCCTTCCTTCTACCCTACCATCTCAAACACGGCAAGGTACAAGGCTAAGACACTAGAGCTTTCTTCCTATTCCCCACCTCCCTTGGATTTGCAGCCTTAATTGTCTGCATTTCCCCCAAAATCAATGTGTTATTTTGAAAGAATATAAATTAATCAAAAGAACCGCACAGACATTGCACGTATGAACATTAAAATAAATATGCAACCCTGTACAAAAAGGAAGATGCACACTCAGACACACGCACACCTATACATATTTGTGTGTGTGTGTGTGTGTGTGTGTGTGTGTGTAAAATACAGAGTCTGCTTTTGCCCATTTATAGTCATTCTCAGTCATATTGGGATTTCTGGCTCAAGCCTGCAGTTAAATAAGACATAACATTCGAAATGTGATCCTCTGTGGGACTACTGTGGAATTATGAACAGGCTGTTCTCATTGCTATCTTTCCCTAATGAAGGGCAGGGGACCCCAGTGGTATCTGGCTTTCCGGTATAGATTTCTCTTTGGGATACAACATTTGATGGCTTCCTGGAAAGCTTATGCATAGCAAACACATTCCTCATTAGTTCACAGAGTTCTACAAATTCCAAAAATAGAGTTTGTATACTGATGACACTGCCACCCTTTCTCTAATAAGTGTAGAAACTCATCAGGCTTCTAGGAGGTGAGTGTTTGAGACAATTACATTACATAGTAAGAATGAATTGGTAGATAACGAAAGTTGATTGACAGCAAGTACTGAGTTAGGAGCTTTCTGTCAGTCTTCAGGGAACCTGTTAGAAAATATTTATTCTTCTACCAATTCTCCTACTACTAAATACTTCTTGAATTCCAATGAGATGCTACGTCAGGGCAGATGGTGTTGTTTGTATGGTAGTTGTGCTACCCTGCAGTATTTAGCATTTATATAGCACTTTCAAATGTCCAAAGCATTTTGCATGACTTCTCTTGTTGTGATGCTTACAACACCCCTGCAAAGTAGATTAATGCTCTTATCCCCATATTGCAGATGGTGGACTAGGGTAGATAGAGAACGGGCTATCTCTTTTTCAGTGCCTATCCTACCTTACTGCTGTCATGGAATGCAAGGGTTCTGAAGTGGCTTTCCATTCATGCACACTGGCTAGGCCCATGCCTACCTTACTGGGTTCTACAAGGACAACACAGAGACTGAAGAAGAGAGAGCTGACAGGCAGTGCCACCTACTGGATGAGGTGTAAGAAGGGAGACTGCTGGGGGTGGTGGAAGGAAAACAGATTGGTAGGGCATTGCTCCATCTGCCCTAATGGACCAGGTTCCACTGCCACCAACCCTGACTGCAGCCCTTTGCACCTCCTGAAGGCCTCTCTGAAGGTCTCCAAGCATCTGGAGGGGGTTTTCAGGGCAGGAGGGAGCTGCTTCCAGGACATGGTAGCACAGATGCCCCATTCCATAAGCAAAATTAACTCCATGCTGCTTTAAATCCAAATCCATATTTCTATCCAGCTGTTCTCAAAGGTGATCATAGCATTGGCCCATTATATTTTCCCATCAACCCTATGAGGGAGGTGGAGAAACCATGCTGACTGGGGGGGGGGGGGAGAGGTACCAAAGGAAGAAAAAACTTACCATGCACCCCACTCCCATCTGATTTTTGGGAGTATTAAGTGATAGAAAGCTGTGATCTCATGCCCAAGCTGGCCAGATGATAAACAGAGAGAGAGAGGATGGAAGATCATGCAGGCTGAAGCAGCCAACTATCTTTATGGACTTCCTACATAATATCCCTGCCTAATTTATGACATGCCTTTTCAAGCTGACACTGCCACCAAGTGCTCATCTGTAGGATGAAAGGGGAAAAAATAGAAATAAAAGAAACCACTTACAGTCAGAGTCTACTTTGCCACGTGTTTCATAGCTGGGCAGAGGGTTGGCAAAGACTTCAAGGTCACATACAAGTCCTTCTTACATTGAGGAAAGTTCTTTTTCAGATCCTACCTGATAGCCAAGTCCCGTGTGTCACGGTCTTACTGCGTTAAACGTGCCATGTTGTTGTAGGTATTGGATGAGGTTCAAATCATTTAAGTGTGGTTTTCCAGAGGATGCTAATCCATTAAAGTGAATGGGTAGTTTTCCCACCCCCATCTCCCTCCCTCCTTACTTACAAGCCCAAGGGTGGCACTATCTCCCAGCTTCCTCCTCCTTAGTCATAGCATTGTCCTTGTAGAACTTGGTGGGAAGTGGGGAGCAAGAGAGAGAAAACTAGAGTGAGTATGTATGTATGTATGTATGTATGTACCATTGGCTCTGACTCCACCTACTGTTGGTCTCCCAACCTTCCACCCTACCAGCATGAAGTGCACCAGCCACCACTGAGGTTTTCTGACACCTACACAGGAGGTAGGAATGATAAAAACAAATTCACAGTAAAATGCATGCAGTTTTAGAATTGGCAATCTCCTAAACTAGAGGTTCCCAACCTGTGGTCCCCAAGCTTCATGCAGGCAGTCTGCAATGTGTCTGTGGATTTGTGGCTGAACATGGGAGATGTCATATGCATCACCATTAATATTGCTTGACTCTTGGAGCTTCAGGGACTGAATCGGAGACCTTCTGCATGCAAGGCAGATGCTCTACCGCTAAGCGATAGAGGAAGAAAGTCACAACAACTGTTGACTTCGCTTTGAACTATCCAGTGTAGCCTTTTCATGGAGTTACATTTTCAGGGTTTGAACTTTGAACATTGCACCGATTCAGCTTAGGGTGGTCATGTGCTAGCATCTGAGTCAGCCTGAAGAGGGAGTTCTCTGAAACCGAACAGCTGCCACTCTCCTATGGCAACTTAAATTAGGGTTACCAGGCGTCCCCGGTTCCCGGGGACAGTGCCCGGATTTGCAAATCTGTCCCTGGGAAATGTGGCAGTGGCAGTCTCAGCAGCCCGGAGCCAGCCTGGTAGCGCAGTTGACTCTGGCTGGCTTCAGGAGCTGCTCACTGCTCGCTGCCACCACCACTGCCGAAGGGGAACCAGGGACGTCTGGCAGTACAGATCTCCTGCCCCCTTCCCCCTTTGTTTTGACAGATCGGGGGAGGCTCGGGAGTCATGGGCGGGCGGCCGTTGCCTAGGAGGGGCGCAAAGCGTGTGGTTTCTCTGCCAGGCAAGGTGCAAAGCCCTTCTTTTGTACCCTGTGAAACATAAATACTCAGAGCTTTTTAAAAAAACTGGGCAACAGCCACCTGCCTGTGACTCCCGTGACCGCCGATCAGTCAAAACAAAGGAGGAAGGGGGCAAGAGATCAGGGGAGGCTCGGGAGTCACTGGCGGGCAGCACACCATTGCCCAGTTTTTAAAAAAACTGCATTTCTGTTTCACAGGGTGCGAAAGAAGGGCTTTGCACCTTTATACAATATGCATGTGTGCTTGGGCCAAGGGTCTTTTGCCTCACCGTCCCCACTACTGACTCTCTGTTGCTACTCAGCTTCCAAAAAAAAAAAAGGGTCCCCGGATTCATTGAAAAAAAATCTGGTAACCATAACTTAAATGAGTTCAAGATCTGCTTTAGGGATGCCCAACTGGCTATGATTCTATGTTGCCCTTTAATGCCATATGCAAACAGTGAAACATTGGGTGGAAGGCACTTAGATGCTATGGGTTCCAAATTAAATCTGACAGGGAAGAGGAATCCCATCCCACAGCAACCCAATGAGGGTTGAATATGGACACAGAATGCAGACTGGCTGTTGAGGGAGGTCAGGAGCAGAAAACCAGAGAGAAGGAGGGAGGAGTGGATGGATGGATGGATGGAGTTGTTGAAACTCTGAACAGAAGCACTCCATACTGAATTACAATATTACAGGGGTCCACTTGTTCCTTCAAGTTTCGAAGTCCAGGGTATGAGTGATGCTGCTTATGTAGCCAAAACACCACCACCAAGACAGGAGGGAGGTACTGTCTGGATTTGGGGAACCCGAAGATTTGGAGAAGAATAAAAAATCAGGGGAAACCCCCAGTTGGGAGGGGTGGATAGGGAGGATCTTTCAGTTCTGTGGGTCTGCATCCCAAACACAGTTCATCAAGAGCAGGGCCTTATTAACAGCCAATCCTGCACCGAGTTTGGCCTCCCTTCATAAGCCTCTGCTGACTGGGAGAGGTTTACACAGGAGCCGAACTTTTGACAGGATTGGGCTCAGAGTCAGACCTATCTCGTTGCTCCTGCCTTTCCCAGCTCTTTCGCTTGGCTTCCGCATAAGAAGATCTACCCCCATCTCTCTCTCTCCTCCCCCCCCCGCCCCAATTCCCAACCGAACCGTGTCTTCTGGTATTTGGAGCAATTATGCGGTGTGTGTTTCCTCCCTTCCTATTGGGACGATCTGTCAACAGCTTCTGGAAGCAGCTTATTCATCTTCATTAGGGCTCCAGCGATATGTCATTCCGGAGAGGAGGGGAAGACGACGAAGCCAATTTGGCTGGGACGATCAGGGAGCGAGGTCACGCTGCGCACCGAGGACTCGGTGGGTCCGAGCAAGGCTGGAGCGTGGGCCCGGCCGGGGGAGTCACTGGGGTGTCAAAGGATCCGCCGCTCCCGCGGGGAATCGACGACCCCTCACCTCCCCCCCGCCCCGGGTTCTTCACATCCTCGTTAGCCATCGCGATCAGAGGCCGGCTGTGTGAAGGGCTGGCCTAGGACTCTTTGCAGAGGGAGTTTTAGGCTGCATTCCGAAGCAGGAAGAAATCCCGCTGGAATGAATGGGACGCATTCCAAGCAAATGCGCGCAAGGCGGAGAGGAAGGGAGAAGCAGGATTCAGAGGGAAGGCAGAGCCAGGGCCGAAGGAGAGCCTCGACGGGACTGTGGAGGGGAGCGTTCGCCCCACGCCTCAAACACCCCCTGGAACCCTAAACCAGTAGACTGGCTTCTGTTAAGACGGGTTCAGCACCTGGCAGAGAGCGAGACACCACAATTCTCTGCGTACATATTGTTAGCAAACAATTTTTTTGAAGAAAGTCATGTTTGGAGCCCCAGTGGCACAACGCATCTGGCTGTTAACCAGAAGGTTGGTGGTTCGAGCCCAGCTAGGGACGGCTTGTGGGCAGGATTCTTGGGGTTGGACTACATGACCCTCCGGGTCCCTTCTACAATTCTGTGATTCTAAGTACACACAGAGAGTTCTTTGGCACTTTGCAAGATTAACATGTTTACTGTGGCACCAGCTTATCTTGGCATAAAAAGACAGAGAAAGACACACCCCGCGCGAAAACCGGGATATGAAAAGCGATTGCTACAACCATAAACCAGTGATGAGGAATTTCTGGCCCTCCAAATGTTCCTGAACTACGCCTCCCTTCTTCCCTGACCATTGGCCTTGCTTGCTGGGGTTCATGGGAGTTGTAGTTCAGCAGCATCAGGATGCCAAAGGTTCCCCATCCCTGCGGTCAAGAGAAGAACTCCCAACTGCAACATTTTATTGCAGTGTCCCAGTTGCTCCCTAAGTTCCCGATCAATTCCTCTTGAGGGTCCTCTAGGCCAAGACACCGCTTGCCACAGTCACCTGCCCTTTTGGCAGTCCTATACTCATTTTCCCGGGTAAACGCCCTTCCATTTGAGGGCGTGTAAAGGGTGCCACGATAAATCGGCTAGCCTTTAAAGGGCCGCATAACAACATAGCACATCTTGAAACAGTATATCACGCTGTTAATTGAGGGCAAAGCCACAAGCATGGATTTGGGATTCTTAAATCATTTCTCATGTTATATGTTATATACCGCATAGATCACGGCGAAGACACATGTTCCTAACTCAATAAGGTTGCGAGTCCAAGCACATATTCTGAGAAGTTCACTCAATGTGCCTTCCTTCTACGAAAGGACTTCCAAAAACACAGGATTTATTTAAGTGTCCATTATGTCCTGTTCACCTTATAGACCATTATCCTCTTCTTAAATCTCTTCCTCGCTCCGTTTTGGAAATTTCCATTCACTTTTGTCGGTTATTTATACCTCCATCTTAAGTCATAGTACTGATGCCAGAATTTGGCAAACCGCAGCTTCGCCATTAACACCTTTTTGCCGAGTCTTTCCCACTGATATTTGCCGACAGGGCGTTTCGAAGTGATTATTGCAGTCCATCCGATGTATTTCCCATTCAAATCGCTCTCTGGAGAGCCCCTAAGAACTCTGGAGTTGGCAAACTCGGCCCGGTTGGAGCGCAGCCCTGAACTGTGCCAAAAGTATGTTCTGCGCGCTCTTCTTGCTTTTCCAAAAGAAAGCGGTGGGTGGCGCTCGAGTTCCCTCGCATTATTAACCCGAGGGATGCTGTGCCCCGCGGGCTGACTCAGGCTGGCTGGCACACGTCTCTAGGAGAGACCGAGGCAGAGAAATGGGCAGCTGGAATGTTTTTAGAATAACGTTTTTTATTTTTTAGAGAATGACTGCTATTTAAAATGGTTAAAATGTCTCCCTAGACAGAATTAGGGATTCTAGGAAAGGCTATTTTTGGTCAACCAAAAATGCTTATATTCCCAAACCGTTTGAAGAATCCCCGCGTAAAGGATTGGATTAGATCACATAAAACAGTTGGCGTTCCTGTAATATTCAAAGAATGGAGATTTTCCCTGATTTAGCAAGAGAAAGAAAGATCAAATCTGTTATGCTTCTGAAGCCAATTGTTTTTTTGTTTTGTTCTTTAATCACATTCATAAACAGTCATTTTAGCAGAATAAGATTGTGGGCGGACACATAAACCAGGGGATCATATCTTTGAATGCTTCCCCCATTTATTGTTTCTTAAAAATATCGACTCTTGAGAGTCCCATGGACTGCAAGAAGATCAAACCTATCCATTCTTAAGGAAATCAGCCCTGAGTGCTCACTGGAAGGACAGATCCTGAAGCTGAGGCTCCAATACTTTGGCCACCTCATGAGAAGAGAAGACTACCTGGAAAAGACCCTGATGTGGGAAAGATTGAGGGCACAAGGAGAAGGGGACGACAGAGGACGAGATGGTTGGATAGTGTTCTCGAAGCTACCAGCATGAGTTTGACCAAACTGCGGGAGGCAGTGGAAGACAGGAGTGCCTGGCGTGCTCTGGTCCATGGGGTCACGAAGAGTCGGACACGACTAAATGACTAAACAACAACAACAAAAATATCGACGTATAATAGAAAAGGCTGAGCTGAACTCTTTCACCCTGTATGGTAGATTGCAAGACTCAAGCCTAAGGCATGCGCTACCCCAGCGCACAGAAAGAATGGGAAATGAGGTGATTGCATAACAATGTCACTTCTGACAACAGATGAGGGGCATTTAAAAACAAAACAAAACACTGCTGTGTAAATATATCCCTGCAGGTAGAATAGTAGTGCATCAGGGAGTGCTTTGGATCAGAGAATGTTGCACTATCTCACAGCCAGACAAGGCTCCTGACCAAATATTCATTTACCAAGGAATCATACCCATACACTTATATACTCAGGCTCCCGTTCCTTATATTGCGCTTGTGCACGTCTGTAAAGGTGTGCGCAAAGTAAAGTGCCCCCCCCCCGTTTCAAAGTCAGTCAGGGACGACCAAATTGATTTTCGGAGACAGTCAAATACAATTATCCCCGCGCTATGGGACACAAGGCAACGCTGCGCTGGAATTAACCTCCTTTCAAGATTCTCTAACGATCACACGATTCATTTGCTCCCTTAATCCTAATAACCTTGCCAGCATCAGTCTCAATAACAGACTCCATTGAATAAGCCAACATCTGAATACATTTATGAGCTTGCCGAGATAACATTGCTCGGCCCCTTGTACTGTCCACTACAGACAGCCTGCGAAAGTGTTCAGACGGACTGGGAGACAGAAACGGAAAGCGCCATTCCACACGGGCTGATAGAACACCGGGAGAGTGACAAGAAAGCGACACCCTGGTCCATTTCTCCCGTCTTTGCTAGTAGAATTGGGTATCCGTCCTTTGCTCTGGTCCAGTTCGCTTCTCCACGAGGCAGGAGTGGGGACGGTCCCAGAGCAAAACGCCTGCGCGCCGGATCTGAGCAAAAGCCCAGGCCGTGCAAGAAATGGGAAAGATTCCAAACCCTTTCTTGGGCAACGTTCACGGCCAGGTTTCTCTTTGCTAAGATACCACCAACCAATCAGAGACTCAAAACCGAAAGGCACCGAGGTTAGAAGGAAGAAAACTTGTTTCACGCCAACGTGAACTTCGGAGACTCTTTTTGTTCGACCATTCGGGACTAGTCTAACAGATACTGTGCAGCCAAGCCCCGCGATCAGATTAAACTGGGGCAGGATGAAGTCCACAGGCCAGTGGCATCTTTCCCCATTTTATCACGGATAATGCACGTCCCGAGGCAGAGTCCTAGATCAAATCGACCTCTGAGGATATTAAGGCACGCCTTGGGTGGAGGACAATCCTTAAGCCGAAGAACAAACAGCATGACTAGACACCCCCTTTTTTGAAAGTATTAGTCAGAGACAATACTGCCCCCCCTAACTCAAGTAAATAAATAGAAATACAGTGGTACCTCGGGTTACATACGCTTCAGGTTACATACGCTTCAGGTCACAGACTCCGCTAACCCAGAAATAGTACCTTGGGTTAAGAACTTTGCTTCAGGATGAGAACAGAAATCGTGCTCCGGCGGCGCAGCGGCAGCGGGAGGCCCCATTAGCTAAAGTGGTGCTTCAGGTTAAGAACAGTTTCAGGTTAAGAACAGACCTCCAGAACGAATTAAGTTCTTAACCCGAGGTACCACTGTACTTAACTAACTGACCAATTGCGTCACAAATAACGAGGTTCTGCCACCTCCCAACATAAAGCCTGCCCCCCCATAAACCCTGGCTACGCCCATTGTATTAGTCCTCTTGGACAAAAGGGTCCACGTTTAGAGCTGTGGTGGCCTGCCCCCACTCTGACCACAGCTCCATTAATAAGCCCAGCTCTTTCCTTTCATCCATGATGTTTTGGGAGTACAGTACGCCGATTTCAAACAAGCGGCGTATAAGATCGAAATGTCAAACTGCAATTACGGCTTTGAATGTGCTGCCCTTTCTCCGTTTCCTCACCTGCCACTGTGAGGAGCGGGGATCTGTTTTATACCACGTGGTTTCTCCTTCTCCCATCTAGTCCAGAGTTAGCCACCGTGGTGGCTTCCCGATATGGCTAGACTGCAGTTTCCATTAGCCCCAACCAACGTAGCCATTGATCATCAGGGATGATAGGAGCTGTAGTCCACATTGACTGCGGGTGCGGCTAATGCGAATTATGGTTCAACCCTATCTGGAGGCCACCGTTGGCTACCCCGATCTAGCCCAACATTGCTTTTTCAGTCTTCTCCAAACTGGTGCCGGGCAGATGTTTTGGGCTACGACTCTTTATCAAGCCCCAGCTTGATGGGTCTATATTCTGACTAGTCCTCCGGAGTCTGCTACTTGATCTTTTTTAACCCTAAATATGCCACTAAGGGAACTTGCACGTGTTTGCCCATTGAGCTAAAGCCCCGGTTCTTCCACCTGAATATTCCCGTGGTGATTGACTGGGCAATAGTCGGTGCTGCAAGCGAATAACCTCATGGTAGGATCTGACCAAGGCCACCCATGGAAACCTGTGGCAGAGAGGCAGGAGGCCTGCGCTCCAGATGTCCTGCGATATCAGACACATTCCAGAAACCGACACCACCCATAGCCTCCCTCGGCTTGGAGCACACAACAAACAGCTGCTGTTTGCACGTTGTAAGCCACCGTTTCCTTACAGGCAATGTATACAGTTTTCTGTAATACACCCTCCCTTTTTTATCAGTGAGATATTGCAGGGATGGCTCGCAGCTCCTCCAGACGTCCCTCTCTTTCTGCACTTACAGCCAATTAAAATAAAGAGAGCAACCCACGCCAGGATGGATTAGATCCAAGGCTGAACAAAATCTCTGGTCTTAACCGTCTCTCATATATTTGCAAAGAATATATTTGCAAAGAAACAACAATACAGGCACGTTTACTCAGAAGTTTCATTGAGTCCCATTAGCTGTTCCAATTTAAAATTTTAAAAATCACAAAACGGTAAACTCACTTTCCAGTATTACAGGAATCTTCTCCAACTTCGATGTTAAACAACACGAAGTTGAGGGGAAAGAAGAAAAGAGTCCAATAAAATATGCGTTAGTTAGACGACGTAGCGGAAGCTCCATCTCTTGCTTGTTAAGCTGGCGTCATAACAGCGATTTCTGTCCATTGCAAATCACTGTTTGTCCCAAAGCACTGTTTGTCCTGGCCGTGAAGCATTCTGGGAGCAGGGAAGGCAATGGCCTCTCTCTCCCTCTGAAAACATCAACGCCAGCAGTTATTGGAATCGGTCTTTGGTAGGAATCGGAAGTCTCAAGTAGCTTGAAAGTCAGAATATGGGAGGGTGGGTGGAACCAGAATGAGAAAGAAATATCAGAATGCGGGGTGGGGTGTCAGAATGAAACACACACACACGAGGAAACGGTGGCAGTCTTTGCTGTTAGAAGAGCTGGAGGTTTATATTAGATGAAGCAGAACGCATCAAAGCCAAATTCGGTAGTATTGCCTAGTGGTCGGGAAAGGCATGTCCCTACGCCTTCAGACACAGCGCTAGCCCTAGCTTGGTAGATAGTATAGTACGTGGCCTTTAGGATTCGGCTCCTGCACAGCTAAACTCTGGGTATCCTCAAAAACGCAGACCGGTTGTTAATGTCAGAAAGAAGAAAAATAATTTCCATTTGCTTTGGTGCAGCCAGTGATCTTCTGCACTGGGAAGAAACAAAACTAACCGGTCTGCTAAGAATGTCGTTGAATCACCCAGACTATCGTGCGCTGCGGAAGCGGCTTCTATCATGACCCCCTAGGAGCAACCATTAGAAAAAATATACTTAAGCCACCCCCCCGCCCCAGTTTTGTGTAACAGACAAAGTGAGAGTCTTCCGCAGGATAGCTGTATTTTACTGTTGCAAGAGGACCTCGTGGCACCTTAAAGACAGAGAATGAGGCAAAGTTTTGCGAAAGGTAGCTACAGTATTCTCATACTTATCCTGTTCGGTACTGTTGTTGTTTTTAACCGACTAAGGTCCACCCAGCCTTTTTGCATTTTTATTTTGCGTCTCTCTTTTTTGCTTTCTGCGGATCAGAGGACGCTCCGTCCTGCGCATAGCCGATCCAATTCACCTCAACTGCATTCCTCGGATTGAATAGGATTCTCGGTCCTGCTGCAAATCCACACGCAACCCCCCTGAGTTGCAATTGCACGGCCAGAACTTTAAACCCACCGACCGAAGCCAATGACTGGAGTTGCAGTCAAGCCTAAAGTGCTTTCTTTTGGCGCTACATCCAACTGAAATGAAGAAAAATGTGTTGAGAATCCCAGCGATGCCCACATGATGCCAATCCTATGTGTGGGCAGTAGTTTAACAGGGTTGCCGAATGGGCCTCAGTTGGTCCTGATTCAAGTTGTTGCATTATATTTTAAGTGCAATCCTACGCATGCCTGCTCGGAAGTAAGTCTCAGAGTGTCCAATGGAACACACACACATAAAGTGAACATGTGGAGGACTGGTGCCTTAATAGTGGTCACTATATATATATATATATATATATATGCATGCTTCTAAGTCGTATTGATAAGGGAAAAACAAAGAAACGAGAAGCTCAGAAAATGCAGTTTAGGCTGCAATTGTATACTCATTTACTTGGCTGGAAGTAAGCCCCATTGAACTCAATGGGAGTTACATCTGAGCACAGAGGAATGTGTTGCTGACGCTATTGTGTAAGGCCGTAGTCCGAAACAGCCTTCCTGGGAAAGTACTCCCTTGGCTTTTCTGGCGGTTTCTTCAGAGTAATCCTATTCAGAAATGGACTGCAACCCTATAGCATCTTTGATATGTTGCCATTGATAACAAGAAAGCTATTTCCTAGACTTGACTGAAATCTTTAAAGTCATGAAGGAGTCCCATTTATTTCTGAGCAAACACCTTGAGGATCATTGCATCCCTGTCTTCGGATGTATAATGGCATACTTCTTGAATATGGTAATCTGGTTTAGCTGATGGACCAGTTAATCATTTATCTTACTTACAATTGTGTGGGGGTGTCTATGCGCCAGCGATATAACTAAAATCCGTGGACTATTACGGAGGCACTCTTTGGAAACTGTCAGTGTCTCCATTATAAAATGCTTCCTTTGAAGAGTTTTATAACACATAAAAATTTGCTCTGGGCAGAACATTAACATATCAAGTCTCACGCCAAGAGTGAATTTTATGGATATGATTATTTATTTACATTTAGGGGAGGAGGGAGTTCGACCTCATTCTTTCAATCCTTTCTCAATGTTGTTCATACTTTTATCAACTTTTTAAAATTTTCTTTTAAAATAAAGTATTCTTATCATTCTTCTGCATTCATTTCAACCCACAACAAACCCTGGCCTTTAACACCTGAGAGATTTATTTTAGGGCACACACAATTCTCTTGAGTATAGCCTGTTTTAACTGTTTATAATAATGTATTTTAAAATCATTGGAATTCCTCCTCGCTTCTTACCTGGGGGAGGTAAGAAATCTAATTATTAATTTTATTAAGAATAACTATCCTTCATCTTTCAGCGTGCTGCATAAAACGTCTCTCTAATTTTTTTAATGAAAGGGTGGTGTAATTTTTATTTTAAAAATCATTTTGTAATAATTTGTTATGAATGCAAATAAAACGATAGTATGTCTGCCGCTGAATACTTCTTCCCTTCTACATACCTGACGATTCCTTTGTATGAAGTCTTCCCACTAAAAACAGGATGTGACGGGACTTTCAAAACCCCAGACTAACAGGGCTCCATCACCTATGCAGAAGATCTATGTTGTGTATTCAGACATTTCAGAATCTTAACCGGACACGGGGCGAAAAGACACGAAGAATTAGAAGAAAAGAGAAAAGGGGTGGTGTTATAGTCAATGAGGACAGCACTGGATATTTAAAATGTGTCATTAGGCCTTTTTAATGTATTTTAAATGGTTACGAAAGTAATTAGGTTACATAGGCTGTGCATTAGCGGTCGCTGATAGTGGTGAACTTGAGAAACAGCTTAGACCACACCACAAAACAGGGATGAATGCCTGAGCCATACATAGGCCATCATTTATCATAAATCCCGAGTGCCCGAAATGCATGGTTTTAAAACTGAAGGCAAGTGGTTTTTACAGTGAATCTTAAACAGGATTTAGCGAAAGAGTATAACTCATAGACACAAGCACAAAAACAGAAAGATTGAATCGGGATCCCAAGCACCTCTTTAAAAAAAGAAAAAAATCATGAGAAACCATCGTCTCCCATGTCAGCTCAGTCTAGAATATAATATCGGAATTATTGCGTCCTATTTCCCAGGATTTGTGTTTTCGAATTGGCATTATCGTTTCCTCCAACAAGCTTGAACGAACAGTTGATTAAAGAATTAACTTTTTTTTCAACCAGCTGCCAGCTATTTTATTAAAAACAAGCCAACAAACAAAAACTCCCATCGATTCACTGAACTAGAGGGCAAAAGGGGGCTGGCATTGAATTGAAAATGCTTTGTCCTGAATGAATGGTTTCAAATACGTAGGATTTTTTTTATGCTGTCCAGAGCCTTTCCTGCATCCCCCACATCCGGTAAGAATAAAGCCCCCGCCCAGAAAATCAGAGCTAGAGGATTCATCTGTCTGCTGCTGGCTGCAACTCCCAAGTTACTGGGAAGCAAAAATCTCATTGGATCCACATCGGTGCTTCGGGTGCTCTGCACACAGTTAAGATCACCCGGAGCGGCCCAGTTAAGTTTTACAACACTTTAACCACGAAAAGGTGGATTTCTTCTCCGTTATTACATTTCAGGTTTATGGGAGGCAGGAGCAGGTATTCTGCACGCCTTTTAAAACCAAGATAGCAAAACATAAAAGTCTCCAGCATTCGGGACTGGGCAAAGCCTTCGAAGGAAGAGCCGCAGGATCCTCGAAACGACGGAGTTATGAGCCAGCTGCGAGTAGGAAGCCATGCTGGGATACCTTAAAAGAAGACGTCATCTGCTCCAATGTAGTCCACGGAAGATCAGGTTATAATACTGCAATAGGTCTGCAGTAATGCAATAGGGATGGGCATGGATGGACTGCAGGGCTGTTTTAAAGTGGTGTCAGCCTGTCTACTTGAGAGTCTCAGTTCTGTTAACCAGTTAACCTAACCAGTTCTATTAGGTTAACAGAAAACAATGGGGATGTTTAGGGGGGGGGGGGGAAACATAAGCTGTAGCTTATTTTAAAACGTTTTTTGTTTTAAGCAATACACTTCCAAACAGGCTGCAGCACAACTCCTCAGATATATACCAGAAGAATATGTTTAGCTCACCTCATGGCCTGGGTGCTTAACACAGATTAAGTGCCCAGGAGGAGCCACAATGTGACCGCGGTTTCTACCTTCTTCTTGAGTTAGATTGCCGCGGGGGTGGGACAGAGTTGTAAGAATCCTGTTGTTGGCTTTTGTCTGCTGACTTTACCATTAGGCAGTTAAATAATTAACTCTTATTTAAGTCAATATTATAGTCTTAGCGCGGGGTAGCATTCGGATTTCCTGCCTCGGGCAGAAAATACATCTTGATCCTTTTCTGGTTGTTGATTACTGAAATGTTTGGCTTTGGCAGCATCCGGTGAAGTTTAATTCCAGTCCTCGGGTTTGTCTGTTGACTGAGGCGGCCTCCCTTTCCTGAACTTGAAAGCAGTGCTTTGAAAAGCAGCGATCCTATGCATGCTTCTTTGAAAGCAAACGCCGCTGAACAAAGTGAAACTTGCTTTCAAACAAACGTATTTGGAATTGAATCATTTCCCTTGTGCTGGGTCCTATGCTATGATTGTGCCAGGGAGGGAGAGGGAAAATGAAGAAGCATCTGAACGTCATTGCTATTGGGAAACCGAGTTTTTCCATGAAGGGTTTGATAATCTGCCATAAACGAGGGAGGGGGTAGTGGGCATAGTACAAGGGGGGGGGAGCAAGAAAACTGAATTATTACAATGATAGCAATGCGCCAGTGAAAGAAAACAATTAAGGAGTTTTTGCACAGTTTCGATCGTGCTCTTCTGAAAAGCAGGGTGCGTGTGGATGGCCCGATCCGGATCAAGTGGCAGTCGATTCCACAGGAACTAGCAACCCCCTCTGCATCCTCTTCGCTTCAAAGCTCGGCCCATGAGTTGAGTGATTGCGGATCGCAGTTATGAAACGGACGAGAGGCCATCCTGAAGGAGAATAACTCCAGTAGCCCGAGCAGACGCCTCTTTTCAGACCTTGCCTCTGCGTCGCGAGCGTTTCCCATACAAGTTCTTCATATTTCACAAGTTTCTGACATTCCTAACTCCAGTGGAAATGCTTTCAAGAGTACTTCCAGGAGGGGCGGAAGGAGAGCGGGGGTAGTTGGGGAGAGAGGTCTGTAAATGCGCAGCCCCTTGAACTACATAGCATTTTATGGGCACTCAAAACCATCGAAATTGCCCATAAGGCTCCTCGATTTGTCTGTATACAGTCATGATATAGAATAACGACGCATTTAATGTTTCAAATCGCCGGCGGAGTAAACCAATTCTCAGGTGTAAACGATTACAAAACGCCTTAATAGCCGTCGCCGTTACATGCAATTTACCGCACTCCCCTAACTCCACCCTCTTTGTTCCTTGTTCGCATAGTTGTGATTTACAGACCCGCTCGAGCGCCAGGGTGGTGGCGCTTTGATTCCAGCATTAAGACTGAGCCAGTAATTCCCTAACTAGCCTAGACAAGGAGAGGGAGAGGATCTGGCTGGGAAACGATTGCAACAACGGGTCCCCAAACCTAGAGGTTCGTCTCAAGGAACTGCTGCAATTTCTGGTTTCGAAAGAAACAAAATTCAGGCCTTGACTCGGTGGTTGCTCTTTTTATTTTCTTGAGCATTGCTACAGACGAAGTACAGCAACCAAAAATAGAAGCCCGGCGCACTTAAACCGAAGTGCCTGCATTCAAGCAGACTTCCAAATAACAGCTGAATTCTGCACACATCTCTTGAAAAATGGCATTGCAATCCTAACCAATAATAGTGGTTTTCTGGACGGAGCTGTTGTATCAGTCCCACTGATTATTCAGAGCAAGAAGTTTCCAAGGAAGTTTCCTCAGGATCCACTTGCAAAACCTTTCTAATCAATGGGATTTATTCCCAAATTTGTGAGGTGCAATGCTAGTTCAGCTTACTTCAGCATGGGGGACGCGGGACGGGCATGAATCCTTGTCCTTCGGCTTAGCAAGGCTGTGGATCGGTTGTATTTACTAAGAGCAAAGCAGCGGTCAGATGTTTGTACTGCTATTCAGATCCCCATACTTTGCTCTCCTTAATTCTACAAAGCCCATTGTAGAATTTATTCCAGACTCTGTATTTCAAATGGAATAGAATTGATTACCTTCAGTGCATTTACTTGGATGTGCCCCCGGGATCTACTTTCAAGTCAGTCTGTTTGTCTCAGCCTTAGTGACTTTAAAAATTGCACTTGCGTTTCTAGTGGAAATTTCGTTGTAACTCAAATGAGGAACTTGGTATGGTCGCATGACAGTCCCAAAGACCGCCAGCCTTGATTTGGGCTGTGGTTAGGCCTATTATAATCAATGAAAGGTTTTTAGTGATTCATTTCCTCTTTTTTTTTTTAAGCAAGCTAAGGGAACACCCATAGCAAACAAAACTAGAGATGAATTTGAGGGCAGCTTTAAGAGGCCATGTTAGTAAATTTGTATCAACTGAACTGTTAGAGGGATTTGCTCCACTAGCTACCATGTCTTTAACTGATCAATAGATTAATCAACCACTTCACATTAAATTTTTCTCCGTCTTTAAGTGCAGTTCTGAGGATAGGGAAATCTGAACAGTAGATGATTGGAACCGAAACTGACTTTGTAGTTGCTACAAATAGTAACCTGCTTGCTTATAAGTAATTTAAATTTAAATAAATTGACCTTCACTTGGAAGAAAAGAGTGTTTCTTTAAGGAAAAAATCGGCATGTGAACACCATTAAATGATGGGTCACCTTTTTTGAACTGAAATCCATTCGATTTGGCTACAATGAGGGTACTTGGGAGAAAATCTCATTGAACTTGGAAGGAACGGTTTTTTATGAAAATCTTTCTCTGGCACACAACCTGGGAGTCAGTCCATCTGAAATCATCCCGAATAGCAAAGAGCAGCTTGTGCCCACTTAAAGGCCAGCGGATTTATTACCTCACCTGGTAATATGCAAGGTGCTTTGTACATATACACACTTGTATGGGGGGTTGGGATGGTGAAGAGTGGAGCCAACGTAATCTAAGAGGTATAGCAGATCTGTGTACAGGACAAGAACAAAACTTCTTATTCATAAAATTCGCTCTATTCTGTTGGGTACCTATCAAAACCTGAGGCAGCAAACCTTACCCTGTCCCAGCCTCGGTTGATTGGAAAGACTCAAGGCGGCTCCAGAGTAACTAAACAGCGTAAGCACAGCTAAAGGATGATTTCTACAATCTTTCCATTGGAAGGATATTGGTACTAACCTTAATAACCATCGCCGGCTCCTGGGCTAAATGCCATTGAGCTGGGTGATTTCACAGGGCCATACTTGCAAGTAAACGAGTTTTGGATCTCAACCTGCCGAATCTGTACTATCAGATACTATTTATTATTATTACTACAGTACTTCAATTTACACAACACTTTCAAGCAAGCCAATCCATGTGAAGTCTCTATCTATCTATCTATCTATCTGCATTCATTTTAAAGGCAATTTGGTCTCAGTGCCAGGAATGCTTATTCAGAAGCAAGTCCAAGTGCTTTCCAAAGCGCTTTCCCTCAAGTACAGAAATGAGCGAAAACTGTGCACGCAGGATTGCAGCCTCACAGCATATAGATGTTTCCTCAGAACTAAGTATGGTAATCCTACGCACATTAATTTTGGAGTAGGTCCCATTGAACAGAATGGAAAGTTACGTCAGAGCAACCCTAATCAATTCTGGGCAATGATGGGCACTTCAGATTCCCCACCGCCAATTTGGTAATCACCACTATCAGGGATGCTAATTTGAATGAAATATTGGGGGGCAGGTAAGCCCCGCTTCGCGTAACGGATCATGCATGCACACCATTTGAATGGCAATGCCAACCAACATTTTGGGGGCGGTAGCCTCCTCAAATATTTTGTGGGGGGAGGGGACCTCGGTCCCTAGGATACCGTTGGCTCCTACACCCACTATAATTCCCTTCCTATATGAAAAAGAAGCGTATCGGCTAACAACAACGACGAGGACAACCACAACAACTTTTTCCTTCGCGCGCACGATAAATTATAGTCACCTTGTCAAACCAGTGGGAAATCTAAATCACTCTGTATTCTCAAAAAGTTACAGAGAAACGATGTAAGATTTTAGATCTCTCTGGAAATGGGAGATCGCTCAGGCTTGCTGGTTTCTGTGTATGTGTGAGAGCGCGCTCGCTGTGGTGTGGATTGGGGAGGGAGTGGCGGGAGCGGGCCTGGCGATTGTTTACTGTTCTCCTCGCCGCCGCCTCCGAGCGCGCCCTGCAGGCTCCTCGGTCCGGGGGACTTTGATGGGAGCGCGACTGGACGATGAGCAGAGTCTCCCTTTCTCTGGCACGCCGGCCGGAGCCACTTGGGAGGTCCTGCCCAACTAAGGCAGCCACCGCTAACAACTCCCAACAGGAGACTTCGTGGACCAGCCCAGGGTCACAATTAAAAACAAGCGCTTAAAAGACAAGAAAAGAGACCTATCAAAGGCTGTGGGGGCAAGGGGAGCGAGGAGTCTGGAAAGAAAAAGCCACTTCCATTCATCAGAGGCCAGGAAGGCCGGAGCCCGCTCCCTCCCCCTGTCCCACCCCGGTTTAGTTGGAGCCTTTGCCAAGGCTGTTTGTTTGTTTGTTTGCACCACGGGCGTCTTCAAGCTGGGGCCATTTAAGCCGAAGACTAGCTTGAGAGCAAGTCCTCCTGAATCCCGCGAGGCTGCAGGCGAAGAGGGTGGGTCAGTTGTGATGGGAAGAAACTCTCCAGAATTCGGGAGTGTGGCGAGGACTGTCAAAACACATTCGCAGGAGGAAGAGAGACGCATTGCAGAGGCAGCCTCAGCCTCACCCCAGGGACCCGCTAATGGGAGTGGGCGAAGGGTTGTCTGAAGCACCCACCGGCTCCTCTGCCTGAGTACAAAACCCTTTTTGTTATTTTCCAAAATTCCCTCTGGAACTTGCTTGCAAATAAGGCGCCAGTCCTCTTGCTTCGTAGAAAGTCCTATTGAACTTAACGGGGCTGACTTTTGATGAGCCATCTATGACCTATAGATTTGCGCTGCAAGTGTTGTGTCACCACAAAACCATACAAAACTAAGCCACGATCAGTCACCGGTTCTTACTCTCTAACTGCCTTATACTAAAAGTCAAGGATTCCCCTTTAATTGGTGGGATTGCCTTGCACATAACCGGAGCTTCTAAGGAAACTTACTACTACTACTAATAATAATGATAATTTTACTATTTATATCCTGCCCATCTGGCTGGGGCTTGCCCCAGCCACTCTGGGCGGCTTCCAACAAATATAAAGACACAATAAAACATTAAACATAGAAAAACAAAGAATATATATCTTGTGCCATTCAGCTCAATGCGACTTACTTCCGTGTTAACATGCACAGGCGGATAGGAATAATAATAATTTATTATTTATACCCAGCTCATCTGGCAGGATTCCAGCCTAATCCTTTGTACGTTTACTCAGAAGTAAGGCTCGTTTCCAGGTTACTGTGCACATGATTACTAAAGCCTAATAGATGCTTCAAGACCCACCGGCTTTCGGATCCAGCCAGATAACCTGCGTTGTGGATCTCCTGCACAGTCCACAATCTAGGGGAATCAGTGGGATCCTGCTTGGATCTGAGCTGAATTCAGTCCCCATTAAAGCCACGAACCTGATCCAAGAACATCTCACTGGGCCGGTTTGTAGTTTGGGCTGTAATTATATGTAATGATTCTAGATTTCAGGTAGGTGGTTGTGTTGGTCTGACGCAGTCGAAAATAATAATAATAAAAAAAATGTCCAGTAGCATCTTATAGACCAACTAAGTTTGTTCTGGTATAAGCTTTCGTATGCATGTATCTGAAGAAGTGTGCATGCACATCAAAGATTATACCAGAAGAAACAAAGTCTATAAGGTGCTACTGGACAATTTTTTATTTTTATATGTACTAATATTAAACACGGTTTTATGAACAAAGGAAGGCATTTTTTGTGGCGTCCTTGGCCGTATTTTACCTACAGGAACAATGACAAGTGATAAAACAAGCCACATCTTTTTGAAGATTGGATCCCTTCCGTCGCTAAAATCAAGCCATGACACCGGCCGGTGATTGGCACTGGGCTATTCCGATTTATTTTGTTTCACGTTCATGCGATCATAGAGAAGAAACAAAGCGGTGCATCTGTCCATCGGGACCTCGCCATGCTTGGATCAACCCTCATGTGAAGGAGCCAAGACGCTTTGTTTCCAGATCACTCCCGTTTAAGAGCCGAGGGACCAAGTGGTGGCGACCGCTCCCTTGAAAGAGAGCACGAACGAAAACGCCTGGGCGATCCTGCAGTGTAAACCCTAAGAAGCTTCCTCACCGGCTCTTTCCATTTCCCCCACATTAAAAAGAGTATCTAGAAACCAGGAATTAAAAAGCTCCCGTATTGGAACGGTAAGAGACTGATAACAACTCCCCACCAAAGATGCGATTAATAGGGTGATCCTGAAATTACCCAAAAGTAAGTCGCACTGGCTAGACCTTTATGCTTAGGAAATGGGCTTAAGTGGGGGGGGGGAGGGGAACGGGACAAATCCAGGCTCAAATAAGCCTCATTGAACATAGTGGGAACTAACGCGATACAAAAGGATGACGTTGCAGGGAACCAGGAACCAAGGAATGACCATCCATTGGATTTTCCATCCAGATAAAATGTTCCGACGATCGGGGTGCAAGCATATATATAAAACCGCCACTTGGAAAGAGTGGCAAAACCTCCATTCATTTTAGTGGAGCTGGATTGCAACGCATATTGCTAAGGGCATTTCTTAAATAAATAAATAAATGGAACTTTTCCTTTTACTTATTCCAAACAACAAAGTGCCAGCTTTAAAACTGAAGAGATCCTGAGAGACTGGCACCTCTATTTAAAAGGAAGAAAAGTTCAATAGGGTTTCATCAGTAAAATCTGTTTCCCAGTAAAATCAACAGCAAAACCTGTGTCACTCTGAATGAATCTGATTGCTCATCAGAATTATAACCCTAGTCCTTTACTTTCTCAGGGGTGGACTCTTCCAAAACACTGTCTTCGAAGTAAACATGTATGATCTGGGTATCAAGATACGGCGTGTATATGACACACAGGGTTGCGTGAACACACGTACCCCGCAGCTTTCTGATCCCAAACCCGGTTTAAGCGCCTCTCATTGGCGTTGATTGCTCAGAAAACCTAAGCATGCCAATTTAGAAGACAATCCCGTTTAAATCAGTGGGATTTACTTGAGAGTAATCAGCCATAGCCAGGATCCTCCCACTTTATAAGTCTGACTCCCCACACTCACCGTCTGCATCTTCTAAGTGGTCCTTGAACCACGCGAGTAAACCCTAATATCCTGAGGACTACATCCTTGGGCCAGTTTAGCAATCCAAGCAAAAATCAATTTACAACCCGGTCACTAACTTTTGCTAACTTGGAAGTGAAGCTGCGTGGGTCCGGAAGGTACTAAGGGCTGCAATCCTATGAATACTTTACTTGGGAGCAAGCCTCAGTGAAGGCAGCAGGACTTCTGAACAAACATAGGATTGTGCTAGACAGCGATTTAAGACGCTTTTTAAATTGGGAGGCGGATCCTGCCGTAAAACAAAACCGAGTCATAACTAAATAAATATTCGGCTTAATTATTGTTGGAGCTCGTCGAGGGCGCAACAGCAGAGGCGGAGAAACCGATCTATCCGGACTGCTGGTGTCGACACCTCAGTTTTTCAGGGTGTGGAATGAGGGATCGGGCCCCGCATTCAATCCAGATTACCAGCTCTACTGCCTGCCTATCTCAAGAACCTGCAGGTTAAAGAGCCGTGTGTGTGTGTGTGTGTGTGTGTGTGTGTGTGTGTGTGTGTGTGTGTGTCCGGGTCCGTGCGCGCGCCTTTCCTGGGATAACTGAGTGCTCCTAACCACCCGCCCCCTCTCCTAGCCTTGTGCGGGAAGAGGCCCTCGCTCCGGAGCAGGAGATCACAGAGAAACGCCGAGCCCCAGGGACTACTCCCTTCCTTGGCTGCCAAATATGCTCAAGGCCAGGCCCTTTCGGCCTCTCCAGGGCTCGGTGGCGCTGCGGGAGGGGGCTGCGCAGAGCTCCAGAGGGGCCGAGGGAGGGAGTCAAGTGCCTGGTCTGGTCCTAGTGGTCTGCCGACACCGCTTTCGTGTAAACGCGTGCCAACAGGACGAGGGCTCCCCGCCCTTTCCCTGCGTCTCCCCAAGGGCCCAGTTGCTAGTTACCTGAATTCCCTTCCCGGTGCGTTTCAGCGGCGTCGATCTCTCGGCGTCGTTTGGGGAAATAGGCTGAGACGAGGAAGGAGAACTGAGACGGCGGGTTGTTCTGGGGGAGCGAAGAGGTTAGGAGGGCGGGGAGAAAGTCCCTCAACTGGAGCCCTGAAAGACGGCCTGGACTTTCCCCGCCGGAGCTGACGAAGTGGGGCTGCAGCAGCAGGATCTGGGGAAGGTTTCTCCCTGGTTGGGGAGGACGTCGGTGGAAGAAGGGAGGGCGGAGGGCGGAAGGACGGGAGGTTTCGCCTGAGAAACTTAATCTGCCCTACAGTAGCGCCGGAGTCTGGGATGTGTCACCGCTGACAGCAGCCTCGACGGGGCGGGGAGCGCGCTCGCTCCCGTGCGCGCGCGCGCACACACGGAGGCAAGTTGGTCAGTCAGGCGAGCAGCAGCACCGCCACCTTCAAAAGAGGGGAAGGGGCTGTGTGTGGGAGGGGGCGATCTATGACTTTTTTTTGCGGGGGGAAGATTAAGAAGAGAGGGCGGCAGAGAGCCCTCCGACGCTAGCTGTTGAAGGGCAATGTCATGTTTCAAGGCCACCAAAGGCCATAAACTTCAAGCGGGGCTTTGCTGGGGCTCCTCGGAATGACTTTAATGAATAATTTCGGAGACAGTTACGGCTTTGAGGTAATTGCTGCCGCGGCTCTATGAAAACCAGACGTGGTGGCTGGCTCCGGAGAGGGGAGTTCTTCCAGCCAGGCCACTCGCCTGGCTCCCGGCAGAAGCCGCTGGTTCAGCTTGAAGAGAAGAGCTGCCTGGCAACCCGCTCCGTCGGACCTGGAAATCCTATAAGCGCCGGCGGGGAGGAAGGGAAAGGCCTTTCTGCGCATGCGCGATCTGGGAAGTTGTCCTCGACCCCGCTCTTCCAACTCTTAACAGAGCAACTCAGAAGTAAGCCTACCCCCAGGAAAGTACAGTACTTGCAGGATTGCAGCCCAACGGTCAGTGGAGGTCGATCCATTAGGGCGCTGCCCCACCCATCTCATTTTTTCTTCAGCCAGTCAACAGCGTAATCCCATCCATGTATATTTAGAAGCCCACGATATAAGAGCTTTTGAATGGGAAAAGTTTTACTTCAAAGTGAAAGTCAGTGAGATCCAGGGGTGCCAACTTGAATAAAATATTGGAGGGGGGGACAGGTAACCCCTGCCTCACATAATCAATTACATGATTCATGCATGCACCCCATGCATGCAGCCCCGGGCCGGATTTAGGTTTGAGGAGGCCCTAAGGTACTGAAGGTATTGGGGCCCTTTATATGTCCAGCTGTCCTTTGTCAACAACAAATTGTCGCTGTTTTTTGTGTTGAATATATGCTATATGGTAATTTATGGACTTAATAGGTATCTAAAGCCATTTGCACATGTTGCCATGCAACTAGTCCTGGCAAAATGTAGGCACCCTATATATAGAAATGAGCAAACTAGTGATATTTTAGGGAGCAGACTAGCAGGCGGGGCCCATTACTTACATCACAGGAGCCTACACAAGACAAAACACTGTTGCTGTATATAGGTTTTATTTTATGTGTTTTTTAGCTTATATTTTGGAAATGCACATCCAGTTTTTTCCCCTTTAAATTTTTGGGGGGGGCCCAAGAGAGTGTAGCCCTAAGCTATAGCTTGTTTAGCTTATACGTAAATCTGGCATCAGTATGCCCATCAACTTTGGGATGGTTGGCCCCCTCAAATATTTTATTTATCAGCCCCTAGGAGTTGGCTCCTATGGTGGGATCTGTCTGCAAGGCATTGAAATTAAGGTCCTGGTCTTCAGTTGTGTTCATGGTAGGTTGCACCATGTCCATAAGATGGACGGTGAATGCTCCACCAACCTTGGGTCAAAGGCCCTTTATAGACATGAGAAGGGAGAGCCAGCGTGGTGTAGTGGTTAAGAGCAGTGGACTCGTAATCTGGTGAAATGGGTTCACATCCCCCGCTCCTCCACATGCAGCTGCTGGGTGATCTTGGGCCAGTCACACTTCTCTGAAGTCTCTCAACCTCAGTCACCTTCCAGAGTGTTTGTTGTGGGGGAGGAAGGGAAGGAGATTGTTAGCAGCTTTGATAACACAGAGCCTAGGGCTTGCCGATCAGAAGGTTGGCAGTTCGAATCCCCGTGATGGGGTGAGCTCCCATTGCTCGGTCCCTGCTCCTGCCAACCTAGCAGTTTAAAAGCATGAAGTGCAAGTAGATAAATACGTAATCTGGCGGGAAGGTAAACGGCGTTTCCCTGCGCTGCTCTGGTTCACCAGAAGCGGCTTAGTCATGCTGGCCACATGACCCGGAAGCTGTACGCCGGCTCCCTCGGCCAATAAAGCGAGATGAGTGCCGCAACCCCAGAGTCATTCGTGACTGGACCTAATGCTCAGGGGTCCCTTTACCTTTAGGGTAGTGATAAAGCGGGATATCAAATCCAAACTCCTCCTCCTCCTCCTTCACCTCTTGTTCTAAGGCAAGGTCTGCAGGGACCCCTGTGGTATTGTTGCACTCCACCATCTGCCCCAGCCAGCATTGCCAGTGGCCATGGGTTATGTGACTTCTACTCCAGCAACATCTGCAGGGCCCCAGATTCCCAAACCTTGCTCTGAAGGCAACGTGTACAAGCTAATGTCCGCAGGCTCAGCCAACACTGACTTGGGAAGCAAGCTTAACAGTTAAATCCAGCACAGAAGACAAAGGCGCATTGGCTTTACAAAAGATCTTCTATCTACGCTGCCTAAAGCTGGGGTTGGGGAAATAACATTCTTCTCCGTGCATATTACATCTGATGCTGTATGCTCTGTTGTAAGGGTGGGCCGGGCAGAAATGCGTTTCATCTTACAACAGAATGTTGCTTTCATTTCCCATGGACACCCTCGGCAAAGCTAGCCTGGGTTAGAAGCTTCCGGCTCCAGCTGTTTTAAGGTACAGACAACAGAAAGAGAGAGATCGAGATCTGGGAGCAACATCGCCCTCTCGCCTGACAACCACGTGTTTCTTCAGTGGGCGGAGGCTGTGGCGTCAGTGGGTCTTTGGTCTCCACTTGCAAAATGTGGCCTAGGCGTGAGCAGGATCCCGTGGCCACACAACCGGATCTGGTTCTACCCGTCAAGGGTACGCCCTATTATAACAATTTCGCGTGGAGGAGAGGTGGGGCGCTGTTTGTGGCTTCTTATTATCTTTATTGCCACTGTTATTACCACAAATAACTAGCTTATTCAGGACTTCCATCATTTTCTGGGACGCAGCAGCAGCATCCTCTCTTTGCTCCCTTCTATATAGTTCTCTCACCGCTTCTCCCCTCCCCAAATCTACCGTCGCAGGCATTTTTCTTTCACATTCTGTCTTTTTCACACGTTCCGATATAAAACTGCCGTGCTTTGGGAAAGTAAGTTCGCGATCCTCTACACCGTTACTTTTTAAAAATGTCCCACTTAAAGAAGGATCGGCCCACCCAGGAGTTTCGTCTCAGTTTAAGCATATTTACTCGGGGGCGGGGGGGGACGACAACTTTTGTGGGGGTTCAGTGAGGTAATTGCAAAGGAAGTGGGCTCATCAAGCTTAATGACTAGGGATTAATTCCTCACTGAACGGGCAGCTTCCTGATCATCTTTACTCAGAAGTCGCACAGTGCGCAATGGACTTGCTCCCGGGAGAGTGTGCGACTAGTACTGCAGCCTGATTTAGGACTTACTTCTAAGTAAAATACTTAGAATGCAATCCAACTGAGTCATAGTCCCAGTGGACCCATAGAAATCGATGGATCTGCGTGAAGCTACTCTTGAGTATGACTTGCACACTCTTGCACGCCGGCTTAACTGGACATAATTCAGAGAGACTTACATCCGGTGAACAGGATATTCTTTTTCTGATTGCAGTCCTGAAAGGAAGTGTATTCTTCATTGCTAAATGCAGTTCTCCAGTGCTCTTTCTGTAGTTGTTGTGGGATATCTAAAATAAGGAAGTCAAAACCAGCAACTTCTGATTACTGGAAAGGCACACACAGAGGAAGTTGGATCTCACAAGGTCTACTCTACAGGAAGTCCTCCAGGTGAGAGCCTCTCCCAACTGTGTCCAGACAGGTAAAGGGGCACAACCTATATAAGCTGCTCACAGCCCAGCGGTTTGCTCTCTCTGATCCCTGCTATCTGATCTCTTCTCTTTGATGCTTCATCAATGACTAGGGACGTAGGACATGTGCTGAGCCGCAGCTCAGGCTCCAATTCTAATCTAAACTATAGTATATGTCTGTTACTACATTTTAAGCCTGCCTCAAGACAGCTACTGTGAAACTGAGTGAGTCTAACTTTACTTATAAAAAGACCGTTTTGAGGGATTATTGTTTTAGGGGGGAGGGGGAAATACCAAGAAATTCAGTCTGTAAGCAAAGCATCCTGGATTAAAATTAAAAGGCTAAAGCTATTTTATCAACGGTTTCCTTATTTTTGCTGACAAAGGGATGCTCTCTGCTGAACTCACATACGTAAGGAAGCATGATATCTAAGAAATATATCCTCTCCCAGTTTCTATGCACATCACCAAAGTTTTCGCTTCAGACACCGGATTCCTCCAACTGCAAATTATTTGTGTAGTCTTTTGAGGGAAACTGCGCTCCTCATCTAGTCTCCTCAAAGCATAAACGCAGAGGTGCCTGACGTCTTCATTTTGATCAGGGTATAAGTTACACCAGCCGTTTAAGAATAAGACTCGGAGCACAATCATGTCTGCGCAGAAGCAAGTCCTACTGAATTCAATGGGGCTTCCTCCCAGGGAGCCTTCTACCCATTCCTAAATCCATGTAGTTGCTTGCAGCGCTTCTCTCTTGCGTTTAGGGTTGCGATGCCAACTTTGAAAGACGAAATATTTTTAGTTCCTGAGAAACGATTGTCGTTTTAATACCTCCTATTTAGGAGTACACTCGTTGACACCAATTAGGATTTATTTACGAATTAATTTGTTTTAGGGTCTGGGTATAGTTATCACGTCTGCTTTCTTGCTTGATTTCAATACTTGGAAATAATATTTCGTCGTCCGCCCGCCCCCGCCCAGTCAAAGCGCAAACGCCCCATGTTTTCCTTTCGGATGTGGTTGGACCAGAATCCGAAACCTCAGCTCCTCATCTCCCTTGGCTTAACGAGGAATTGTGGCTTTCCTTTTGGAGACAGTGAATCTTGGCCGTGTCATTGGCTGCAGCAACGAAAGCCTCTCGTCTCTCAGGCCAATCAAAGCTCGGCCCCTGGCCAGCCTTCGGCGTCTTCCCTTAATCCGGCGCACAAATAAACCCAAGGTTCTCTCTCTGTCTCCTCTGCTGAATATATTATCGGTCGCCCCGCCTCGCTTTCCCGGTCCCACCATTTTAGGGCGACTCGAAAGATCCGCTTGCTGCACAATCTTGTTGAGGGATATTCTAACGCGAGAAGGATCCCCACAGATCTCTTAGAGCAAGTTTCACAGGCTGCTTTCCTGGGGAAGGGGAAATAGATTTTGGATCTGGAGCCTGAGGAGCGAAAGAGGGCTTGATATGAGACAGAGTTCCGCCCAGGACCGGCTCTTAGATGTGCAAAGCAGGATTATCGCACTTTAAACATCTGTGGCACCCCCGCAATAATCCCGGGTGGGAACTGTAGTTTGTGAAGGGCCCTGAAAACTGTTAGGAGACTCCTATTCCCCTCACAATTCTCAGAGTCAATTGCTCTTCCTAGGGAGTTCTGGAAATTGTAGTTCGATATCAGGAACAGGGGCTCTCCTAGCAGATCTCAGCACCCTTAACAAACTACAGTTCCCAGGATTCTTTGGGAGGCAGTATGCCATGACTACTTGAAGTGGCATGATACTGCTTTAAATGTATAGTGTGGATGGGGCAAAGCTGAGAACTGGAACCCTGGATGGGAAGAAATAATGTACAGTATATAATAGAATGCATTTAGATTTAGTGCAGGAGGGTGAGAGGTGCAGAGCTACATTTAGCCACAGGGGCCTGAGGTTACCAATCCTTGGACTAGAGTTTCCAGGGAGTGGTGCAGCTTCTAGGCAAATCTTTCTTCAGATACTTCTGGTGCAGAGTGGAAGAGTGGTACACAGCAAAACAAGAAAGTGGCTCATCTATGTTCAGCTATATAATCTATGAATAGGTCTGTCTAGTCTGTTATCCTCTCGACAGTTTGTCCTCTCTAGCAGTTAGTATTTGTGCAAGACAATTTAAATTTAAGGGGAAAGGCATCCCATTCACTCTGGATTCATAGAACTTTAGAGTTAGAAGGTATCCTGCGGATCATCTATTTCAGCCCCCTGCAATACAGGAATATTCAGCTGTCCCATACAGGGACTGACTCTGCAACCTTGGCATTATCAGCACCATGCTCCACCAACTGAGCTACCGGGGGTGGGTATATTACATCTATTGAAATGGGGGGGGGGATAAAATGAAGGGGGTTTCAGATCACTGTAGGCTTCAGTTATGTTCCTCCTCTTACTTGGGCAGCTGATCAGCTTTCTTCAACAGAGGAGAAAGAAAAAGAAAAAGATGGGTGTAAAAGAGGCACTCTGCCCATGCTTTGACCAAGTTGATTGCGTCGTATGTATGTCTCTAGATTTGCATTGTGCAAATCTATTGAAATATTTCCATCTCACTCTCTAATGCAACATATTTGAAAATGAAGATATTTCACTGTGTAAACTGGAAGCCTTTATAACACACAAATGATCTCAGGATGTTTTTATTTCTAAGAGATTGTTTGTGTTAAAAGAATACCAGCAAACCCATCTCCCAATAGCAGGTTCTGGTGAGAAAATGTGAACTCCTCTATACCCTCCCCAACCCATACCTTTGTAATTTTTGTGTTCAGGATCAGTAAGTGCAGGAAATGCCCAACAGACTATGAGATATGGCAAAGTACTGTGCTGTAAATATCGAAGTTTGTGCTACATTGTGAAACCTGGGCCAGTCCTACCATTAGGTGATTTGAGGTAGCTGCTTTGGGCAAGCATATTTTGGGTATCATGAAAGGGCAGCAAGTTGCTTGCTGCTTAATTTATTATCATTGCACTTCCCCCAATGTCAGCAATGGGGAAGAGCCTTGGGGGGAGGGGCGCTTCTGCCTTAGACACCAAAATAATTTGATGGGACTTCAGTAGTATGCATCATATGCCAGCCCTGTTTTGAAACCTGGTGGACCCCTGAGGTGGCAGCCCAGCCAACCCAAGTCTTCCTCTGGTTCTGTCCACTGCAGATCCCTGGCATCTATGTTGATTCTGGAGCAGAGTTCCAAGCTGAAAATGACCCAAATTTTGAGAAGAGCATTGCCACCATTGTATCCAACCAACTTCTCCTCGGAGTAGAACCACTGAATGGAATGGACATAAATTAATCACGTCTATCAATTTCAATGCGTCTACTTTGAGTCGAAGTAACTTTCGATACAGCCCATTGTTGAGGGTTAAGAAGACAGACATTCCCAGGTCCTTGGAAATATTTTCCAGTGCTTCCATTATCTGGTCATCAGGTTTCCCCCCGCCTTCCAAGAGATTTGCAGCAAAGCGAAATGAATTCAGCATGCAAAACCTCAAAAAGACAAAAAGGATTCAGAAAACGCGACGTTTTCTTGGATGAAAAGACAGAATTAGGAGAGAAGAAAGAAAAGAGAGCAAAGAAAGGCTTCCTCTATATCCCCTCGCATTCCAGCTGGTGGCCTGGAACTTCAGCTGGTGTTTGGAAAGCGGCTTGGTGATTACACCCAAGTCTTGAGCAGGATGGCTCCTCGCCGTCTGATCTGACGTCAGGGTGTCCATAGAGGCTCTCATTGCAAGGCAGGAGGGAGGGAGGGAGAGAGGAGAGTTCTAATCACTGCCAGATGTCCTTAATAGCAAATATCAAGACTTATATGGTGCCTAAGAATAAATTTGTAAACAGGGCTCCGCGCGAGCCCATCATCAAAGCAGTGGCATTGCTGAAGGAATAGGAGGGAGGGAGAGAGACGCTCAGCTTGAGTGGCTACCTTTGGGGGTGAAGGGCGGGGGTGGAGGAGAGAGAAGAGAGGACAGGCCCTCAAGAGAGTTCCCTGAAAGGAACAGGTCTCTAACCTCGCCCCGCCCCGTTCTCGAGGCTCTTCAGAATTTATGTGAATATATAATTCAGATAACCATTGCGCTTTAATCTCCATTAAAGGGGGGGGGAGGTTTAAACAGCTGAACCGTAATCGGCCAATTAGAAATGGAAAAGATTTGAAGGTGCTGGGGTGGGGAGTGTACATATTTCATAGACTGGAAAGCCGAAAGAAGAGCGTGAGAGAATGATAAGCCTGAGTTATAACCGCAGAAGAGGTTACAACAGCGGCAGGAACGTGGCCATCCGTTTATTTTCCACTGTCAAGGGCAGCTCCATTCATTGGAAAGAGACACAGTCCAGTTAAAAAAGGTCCCAATTTTCAAGTCCAAAAGCACTTCCACCGCCCATGGTAGGGCTGGACTGCAACCTTACTTGGAAGTCATTCGCTTTATTTCAACGGAATCTCCTTCCACGCATAACTGGGATCGCAGTTTAATGTTGCAAATCTCCTGGACTTATTGCCAAGCGTCAAAGACAAGCGTAAAAATCAATGATACGCACGTTTTAAACGGCTGCGGGGCTGGAGGGTGTAAGGAAATCCGAATAGTTTGACAGTGTAGGGTCTTGCAAACGCGATCCCCCTGTCCGTGCTCACTCAGAAGAGAACCCACTGAAGTTCCATGGGTCTTACACATATAGGGATCCCCAAGTGACATGCGGATCGCAGCCAGAGGAGGCCAGCGAGACGCTCCACGCGTCATTCTGACGCCAACTTTGACGGAGAGGCTCGCCATCGTTATCTGGCTCGAAGGAAAAACCGCTGTAAATTTCAGGAACCGGGTTGGGGTGGTAGAGTGAGCAATTCCACGGAACATGTGACAAATCCACAACACAGAGAAAGCTCACGGAAGAACTACCGACAAGGGCGATCGATCCCAGTGCTCGAAATACAGTCTATTAATTCCTAACACGTTTTCTTTCCAGTTCCTACTACTAACGCCATCTGCTGTTTTTGGAATAAGTACCGAAGAAAAAAGGAATGAATGAAAGGAACGAAAAGCCTTCTTTTTCAAGCCTGACCTCTTTACCTAATCATCTAACAAAAGTAAGATTATAGGAATCCTGGAATACATCCATACACCCCATTCCATAAAGTATAATCTTTAAGACTGGGGAATTTTCATGGATTATCAACTCAGTCCGATAGACGTCTTCTAAGCAGCAATCGCTTTGAGTTCAGTAGGGTTTACGCCCAAGTAATTGAACTGAACACAAGGGTTGTTTACAACAGCATTGAAATTCCTTTAACAGATGTATGTCCGCGAGTGTCTGATGCTGATGGGGGTGGGGGTTGTTCTCATGAACTATGATTAGGGGAACTTCAGCTAGTAATCGATGGGTGCGTTGCGTAGATTAGGCTGCAGTCCTCTCGTCCGGGGTTAGGAACCTGCAGATCTCCATTTGTGGTTGAACTCCAACTCCCATCAACCTCAGCCAGCGTGGGTGATGGTCAGGTATGATGAGCCAAATTAATGGTGGGTCACATGTTTCCTACCTCTCGGCTATAGGACTTCAGCCAAGTCCTCGCAGCTCGTCTGTTACAATTGAAGGTACCCTATAGTTCATGAGAACTGTCCCTCATCACCGCCAAACATGCACAGGCGCAAGTCTGTTAAAGAGGTTTCAGTGCTGGTGTAAACAGTCCCTGATTCAATGCAGACAAGATAATTTTCAACCGAGGGAAATACTGATTTCAGAGAATTTGCTCTGTAATTAAATATATTCCAACCCATCACTTGCACTGCGGAGCTTCAATGTGCGTTTGGTAATGGTAGGCCCTGTTCAGACGAGTGGAGACTGATTTCCATGCAAATGTAAATCAGTAGTAAAATAACAAGTGTCTACTAAACTAGTACTACTAAAACAAGCTATTCTGAAATATGTGGACAGGAGGAAACTATCTGTAGTAAACATGCAAGCAAATCAACATTATCTTGCATTCCTAGGGTATTTGAAGCGCCCTCTTGAGCACAAAATATATATTTGGAAGCATATATTCCAAATATTTGGAAGCATTTCAAATTTGAAACGAATGGTACCTCTTCCAAGCAGATGTATTTGGAACAACAGTTGTAAGAATAAATATGTGGAAAGGATAGTGGTATCCCAAATTGGACATGCTCGCTTTTAAGTTACTTTTGGAAATCTAAGATGTGGGTTGTACATTGAATGAAATCCAGGTACTTTATTCCAGCTGTGAAAGCGGAAGGCCGTGGAGAGGGAATATATTGTGTGGATTGAAATAGCAAACGGTCCACACATTTATATCTACATATTAAATCTAAGACCGGGCAAGCTGAATGGGAGAGACACATAGTACAATTCTAATATGTGTTGATTTGGAAGGAAGACCCACTCTGCTGAATAGGGTTTCCTCTCTGGTAAAAAAATATATATGTATCTTGTGAACCGCCCTGAGATCTTCTGATGAAGGGCGGTATAAAAAATTAACAAAGAATAAAGTAAATAAATGAATGGGCCTGTATTATTTTGGACTTTCGCCAGATCGTGGACAATAACCTCGGAGCGCCAGGACCTCAGCAGTTATCCTGAGCTGCATCTTGTCCATAAAGTAGCTCAAAGGTTAATGTTAAAGTAAGATATATTTAAATAACTTTGCATGTTGATGGAGAGAGAGAGACGAAAAGATGGCCACAAACAACAACAACAACAAAACATACTGGTTGGTAGGCCTTCGATGGCAGATTCTGAAATCCGATTCACGCAGCTGAATCAGGGCCTTTTTCTAGTGTGCAGCTTTTAAACAGAACCTAAAGGGATACGAAGTCAGCACGTAAATACTGTGGATAGTTATTCTTTTCACTTCTTCAGGCTGTGATGCACTGCGGCTTAAGCTTCCCCGCAGGAAAATGAAAAGCAAATAGCGCATTCTCGGCGGCTCCCAACAAGGGCCGACCTCCTAAAACTTTGCATTTCCCACCTATTTCATTGCAATCCACTTCCAAACAAGCAAACCTTCGGATTCCCAACCTACAGTTTACCCCTACACAAATAAACGATTTTCGCGGGCTCTTAAAATAAATCACCGCAGCACGGCTGAAGCTGTAGAGAGAGCAACACCCCATACTGAAGACATTATAGATAAGTGAAGTCCCATTGAAATCAAAGGGAGCTAATTCCAAGCAAATGTGTTTAGGATCGGAGCGCCTCCCTGCAATCTGGAAGCCAGCGTAGCTCGCGTAGCTCCAGTTGCCTATTTAAAACAAGTGACGGTAAGGAACAGAGTTCACATATGTGAGGTGCTCACCCGACTGAAGTCAGAGGGGCTTCATTCTCTCAATGAACGCTTTTTAGGGCCGCCTTGTTAAAGAAGTCAAACAGTAGATTCCACGGCCCCAATCCTGCGCGCGTTAACTCTGCAGGCCCCACTGAGGCCCGCGAGGCTGGAGCTCAAGAAAGCGTGCAGAGTACTGCAGACTTCAAACCATTCCAAATAATCCTTTCAAAACAAAACAGGGAAACTAAGTAAAGATAATTCACATTAATAAGGAAGAAGTTCTATATGCCTTCCAAACACGATTCTTTTGCTTATGCTAGTAAGGGAAAGGAGAGGCAAAATGCTAGTTTTGAAGGCCATGATGGAGAATTAAACACACCCATGAGCTATACTGTATGTGAAAATCATTAAACACCATGGCATATGCTACTATCACTTTTTTTAAAAAAAAGTATATTCCATTCTCGCAAAACTGTTGCCCACAAGCAGAATACATTTGCATGGAAGCGAGTCCCTAGGGAGTTAATGCCGCACGCCAATGCTAGTGGATGGGGTGCAACCCAGGTTCGGACGTTTTTACCCCCAAGTAAGTGATCATAGGACTAGACAGGCTTACAGGGCGATCCGCAGCCGATAAAAACCAACCAGGGATTTCAAGTAGAACGTGGACTGTTTCCTGATCCCATTTCACTGGGCCAGAAAACCAAAGCTATTTCGAGGCAATTTGCTTCCCGAAAAATGTATTCGGGATCATGAGGCTAATGACCGCAGCCTGGCGTGGCATCTCATCCTCGGAAGATTTGCTGGGAAGCAAAAGTCCCACGGATCAGAGCAGAATTATCTGCCGAAAGTCGCCCTCGCCACAACCCCCCAGATTTCTGCGTCAACATGCAGGGGGATGGCTCTGCGAGGGTGATCTGACGGAGGCTACCAACCCGATCCTATGCATGTTTACTCTCAAGTGAACAAACGCGCCTAGCAGAAAGGGGAGTGGGGTCTCACTGAGGATTAAAGAAACTTCAGTGAAACTCCCGCCTTGCATCCAGGCGCTTCGTTCTCTCTGCGATGCGCGTTTCCAAACCAGCTGCAGAAGATTCTCTCCTTGGCTGTGGCTCATTCATTAATTTCCCCTCTCGGATTACCTACCAAATAGTTGCTGCGGCCCTCTTAAGCTATTATTGCCAGCCAGGAGGCGACGCGAGAGAATAGGATCCTGATCTTTTTCTCAGGCCTCTCTATCTCTTCCCTCCCTGTAGCGCTGGTTGCGCAGCGGTTATCATCCCAGGGAAGGGAGTGGGGGGTGGACAAGGCGACGGAGAAGTTCAGGCCTGACCTTAGCGAGAACTTTACAGATAGAGAGGGAGAGAGAGACGTTGCCAGGCTCGTCCCCAGTTCCCAGCGAGTCGCTGCCCGAAAGGACCACGTCCCAAGAAGCGAGAGAGGGCCTTATCAGGCTCGCAGCTCCCGCGCAGCGATCTGGGGCCAGGGCTCCTGACATCCCAATCGACCATCAATTTACCTTCCACCGCCCCGCTTCCCCATTTAGCTTTTAACGTCAAAAGCTACATTTTTGTCGGCTCCGGCCTGTCTAGGGCTCTTGCGATTTAGCTCCAGGAATGATTGCTCCTGAGAAAATAGCAACAGCCCCATTACCGAGCAATTAAAAAGGATCTCTCCCCCCCACCCTTTCTCTCTCTCCCTCTTCCCCTCTTAACCCTCGCCCGCCCACCCGCCATCACCTTTCAGTGGGTCCGATGGCCCCACTCGTTTAGACAAAGAGAAGGAGGAGGAGGAGGAGGAGGACTGGAAGCCAAAAGTTCTATTGATCATCTGGTGGAAAGGGGAAAAAATGCCGGTCAGTCAGCCGGCCACTTCCTGGTCTGTTTCTATGGTTGAGATTCTCCACGCACACTTAGAAATACCTCTTCACGGAAGTCAGAGGACTTCTTGGTTTTTTGAGGGGGGGGGGGGCTTTGATGTCTGAGAACTTAGATCGCTAGCGATCGGTACACAAATTTAAGGCCTGGCCCGGCAGACACTGTTACAGTATTCTCGTGCTGGACTCTCATTTCTAGCACCAGGGGTCGAAAATGGTGCAACCGAGCTAATATCTATGATTACTTGGAAGTCAGCGCCGCGGATTTCAGTTTCTCAAGTAAGCGTGGGTAGGATTGCAGTCTCAAAGTTCTTGACTTTGCGTGGGATCCTGACGATTCTGTAGCATCTTTCGATTCTGAGGGGGGGGGGAGCTTTAAAGCAATGCATAAACTTGTTCACACGGAGTTAACAGTCTCTCTCTCTCTCTCTCTCTCTCTCTCTCTCTCATAGCATCTAAGCGACTGGATGATCGACTCTTTCGACAATACTACGGGCCTTATTCCCCAGGAAGAGTGGCATTGGTGACCGTGTGAGCTCGTGCGTACACGTGTGTGAGGGAAAGCCTAGATCGCTCAAGTATGCTCTCTACTGCAAACAAACAACTGCAGGTTTTCCTTTTCTGCTGCTGCTGCATGGGAAGGAAGGGTTGATAAGTTTGAATGAGGAATCATTTATTCATTAAATTGGGGGGGGGGGTCCTAAAAAAAAAGAGGAAGTGGTGAAGAATCTCTGCAGCCTCGGGACATAGACCCGCTTCTTCTAAAATCCTAGTTCAAAGCACTGAGTGGATGTAACAATGCAAACCTAACATAGAAAGACTTGCCAGTCGATATTCTGGGCCAGAAATCTACAAACACGCGAGGACGGGCGGCGTCTGGGAGTGGGAAGCTTCCGCGATCCTTGAACCAGTTGTTTCTCTTTTCTATCCAAAACTTTGGATAGCGTTGAGCAAGATCTAGGAGAAATCGTACTGGGTTGGAAAGGAGAGATTGGATCCAGCTACAACAGCAGCTGGAGTTAACTTTTTTGAAAAGAAAAGTGTGAGGTGGGGTTCGGTGGGGAGAGGGAATGTTCCTTCCCAGGCAAGTGTCTGTAAACACAGCTCTTCCCAGCCTCAGCTACCTGACCCCGGGACTGGAAGAGGGCACACCACGTTGGCCTCGTTGTTGTAACCTCGCAACCTTCCTGTTGTCAAGGCGGCCTGGCCAGCGGTGTAAAAGGCCCCTGCTTATCTTTTTATGGGCAGCTGGAATTCTACCTTCTCTCATCGTCAGAGCACAGCCAGGGCGAGCCATTTTAAAAAAAGGAAAAAAAGGGGGGGGGGTTCAAAAAACAACAGCCACGCACATCAGAGACATCTGGGGCAGAGCCAGCCAGCCTGCGCGGATGTCTTGTTCCATTCACGCCGGGAGCCCGGGGGCTACAGATCTATAAAAGTGAGCTCGGGAGAAAGAATGAAAAATCCTCTCGCTTAACCTTGAAAGCCCGATTAAGACCCAAGCAAGCTTCCTCAGGGGACAAGCTTAAACCCCACGCAAAACGACGGACGCCATTCGGTTCCTAAGTCCTCAACCTCAACTCCGTTAGCGCCGCTTATGTTTTCAGGCCGGTCAAGAAAAGGCTGAAAAGAAAACTCAGGACTGAGCAGCAGTATTGGGAAATTTTGGGCAATGCTGTTGCAAAGAGGGAGCGAGGTCCTTTAAAAAGGGACGAGAACGGCGGGGCTTTCCTATTTCGCGACACCAGTGTTTCTTCGGGTTGTTTAGAAGGCAGCGTCGCCTTATCGAGGCGGTTTCTAGCCCTGGTCAGTTTCAAGGAGCTCCAAGGCTGTTTGCCCGGCCTGGTGGCGTTTCCACCCCAAGAGAAGTTTCGGTAGCACAAGCCCATTTTATTCTCTTCCTCGCTCCCCTAAGAACATTACAGAGCCCAATTCGGAAGCCCTTGCCAGAGTAGGATTACACTTACACACACACACACACACACACACACACACACACTTTAAATAAATGGACTCGCTGCAGTCAATTGAAAGGAAAAGTGCAACCCAGGAGAGTTTTGGGGAACCACAAAGTTAATATCCAGGTCACCGTATCTCACTGTAAATCTCGCATTTCTCCCCTTTCCGAAATCCCTAGCCTTGCTCCCTGTTTCATACTTGACATAAAGCTCCAAGTTACATAATCACTTACACGGTATACCGAGGTTTCCTAAACCATCTTTGGCCTGGCCCCAGCCAAAACACGAGGGCGCTTCCGCAGCACAAAACCTCTCCCTACAACGCCCTGCCGGTTGCCACCTCTGAACGCAACACGCCGAGAAAAACAGCTCGCTCCGATAAGCACGAAATAAATATCCAGATTAGCTCCCGTCCGCAGTATCCTCCCCCATTCGCAAGCAAGCACCTTTAGAAATCACTAAATTATTACAGCTGCAGTAAAACTAAACAACCTCTCTCTCTCTCACTCCTCAGAGAAAACAAAGCAAAATTTGTTTCTGACTTGATCTAGTGCTCTACTACGGCCCATATAAAGTACTATAAAAATATCAAGCTGAGAAATAGTATTTGGCCCAGTGTAAATGCTTCCCTGCCCCCTGAGCACGGGTGGAATTTACTTCCGCGGAAACGTGGTCAGGATCGCAGCCAAAGTCTCGGAAAAATATATCTATCTCCCGCCTTTGATATTTCTCTTTTACCCTTTCACAGGGGTCAAAACAAAAGGCATAAGCTTGCTACCCCATTCCTATGCCGCGCGTTTACTCGGAAGTAAGTGTCACCGCTTCCAACGAGGCTTTCGCAGGCAACACCAGCCCACAGGATCTCACCTTGATATGTCATCCTGGCCATTTACTTCCAAACGTTAGCTAAGGTTTGGAAGTAAATGTCCAGGATGACAATAGCAAAACTCAGGAAAGAAAGGGGTTAAAAAACATTTCAATGCATCGAACATTTTCGTTTTAGAAAACACACACACAGTGGTTTATTGAATACGTACAGCGTTTACACCTTTGCGTTATTAAATTCAGCTCCACGGACGATTCGTTTTTACTTTTATTTTAATTTTTAACGTTCGGTTCGCTTCCTTAAGGACCGAAGCGCACTTGGACAAAAGAGCTGTCGCAAAATCTCTCCCAGCTCCTTGAGCGACCACAATGGGGAAAAGGACAAACCTGGGAAGCCCCGGACTCGGCCCAAGACGCAGAAATTGTGGGCTCCTGCTTTGATATCGCCATCAACACGTTGACCCAACGGGGCAAGTATTAAACACATACACTTCACATGACACCCTAATGCCTGCGAGATTTCTTTCTTTCTTTTTGTCCCGTGTGTTCTATACAAATAAAGCAAAAATAACATTCAATGAAGGGGAGAGAGGAGGAAGGAGGGGGGAAAAACAAAACAAAAAACTATGGAGACGCCATTATCCCCCTTACCACGCCGGAGTTTTCTTCTTCATATATTCAAATATGGAATGCTTTTCTTCCAAGATCCGCGGTTTTTTGGGTTTTTTTTTTAAAGGCGAGACTAGGGGAGGGAAATTGCACATAAATAAACCAGACGATTCCAAAACAACAACAACAACAAGTCCTCAGCTCGGCAGCGGCTCTCTCGAAGGCGCAGAGAGTCCCCCGGCAAGACGAGGCTTCCTCGGGCGCTCCTTCCCTGCAGTCCTGCTAGCGCCTCATTGCTTGAGCTCCAGAGCCCACACGTGCTGCGGCCAGCCCGTCCTGCCTTTCGTCTTCTTGTCGTTGCTGCTCACTGTACTTTTCAGGATCTCGTTCTGTTCCGGGAGAGGAGACGGAGAAGAGAAACAAAGAGATTATCTCTCTGCGTTTTATCTGGGTTAACCTCCTCCCGCCCGCACCTCTTTGGCAGGAGGGAGGCGTAAAAGGAGCCTCGGTCCGTTTGCTTGAGAGGCCTCGGAGCAAACGGAGCAAGCTCTTCTTCTGAAACGGGCTTTCTCGCAAAACGTGGAGGGATCAGATCCACACACTTAACACAACCCAGCTAGGGCTGCGGAGTTGGTGCAATGGAGTACGCTTCCCTGAGCCTTCTGAGCAGCCGCTGTGTGTATAGGATCGCCTGAGGAGCCGGATGCAGCGCAAAAGCGCAACCCTTGGAAAGGAAAGCGGCTTCCACGGCAACCCAACACGCGTCTACTCAGTTGAAGGCCTGGGAGTTCTGTGGGGTTTACACCCAAGCGAAGCTTGCACAGAATTGTAGGCTCATCTATAATATAGTATTTGTTGTGGCCTACTTAATTTTCCGGCTTAACGGTTTTCTGAATCGGCTCGCTCTCCAAACGCGAGCGAACAGACTGTTAAGTGCTTCTCCAAATATAGGACGAACTTTATTTGAACTATAAAAGACTTTCATATTTGCAGGCGTTGGACACACACTTTAAAGCAAAGCAAAGCAAAGCAAAAAAAAAAGTCCTTCGGCTCACTGAACAGCCCAATAGTGTATAAGCTACCCAGAATCTCAGGTTGTTGGACAAATGGCCTGTGAGGTTGTGGAATATGTGTCTAAGTAAACACTGAACTTACAAAATAAATCAGCCCCCACAAACGACTTTGCATCTACTCATTCATCATTCTCCCTCCCACAGCTCAATACTGTCTACACAACAACTCTCTCTCTCTCTCCAACTGAATGGAAAACGAATAGATTTTAAATTCCCCTATACACACACGTGTTGCATATGTTTACTGGTTATAAATGGCCAAGTCACAAGGAGGGATAAGACCCAGCGGTTCTTTTTGGAGACGACAGTCACCAGAGCCTGCTTGTAGACTTCCTGTATTTCCAATAAAGTCCCTTCCAAGGCAATGAATGCCCTCACCCCGGTATCCCAAGTTAAGGAATTAATGTATGAGATGTGCTGTTATAGCCTCGCTCCCCCCCATGTTAACTTAGACCCTGAGCAGACCTGGAAGCACCGACCGCTGGTTTTCTTGTGAAATAGACATGCTTAGGATCTGAGAGTACTGATCTGCTGAGTATTGTATATGGGCAATATCTGAGTCCCAAAATACTTGGAAATATCTTCCTACCACCACCCTTTGGGGGATCGTTTCTTTCGAATATTGTGCACTCAAACCTTTTTTAAAAAATTCCAGTTCAGAGTGCTAAATGCAATTATTTGGATATCCCACCTATTTCAATGGAAGATGTTTCCTAGCGCTTTAAGATAACACAGCAAATGTATGGAGCCTACTTTGGATTTTTATTTTATTTTATTTAAAAATGCATCCCAAGTGTTTTTGTTCAGGATTGTTTGTAACCTTAACCATTCTAATCCGGGTTGAGATTCAATTTCCAGCTCTTGGTCCCTTAGCAACTGCTGGTTGTTGTTTTTAAAAAACATCCTTCCCGATTATATTTAAAGAAAAACAGAAAACTTGTGATTGTAACCGGTTTCCTCTTCCCGCTCGCGATTAACTAGGCGTATTCTATAGGTTAAATTCTTGGAGGAAAGGAAGAGGGCATGATATTTTGAATTATTGGTGGAAGGCGGAGCTCGCCCCGCAATACATTTGCCTGATAAGTTCAAAGTAAATAGAACCTTTCTGACTTACTGTGTGACCAACGCGTAGCTCAGGAACTCCAGTTAAAGCGTTCAGTATTACTATGTGACCTGCAGATTACAGCCTTATGAGGAAGTGGGTTCCAAACACACACAACCCTCCGCTGGACTGCAGCCTGCAACAGCACATCTGAAACCCCACTGATCTTTTTTAATCTGTGTGTGTGTGTGTGTGTGTGTGTGTGTGTGTGTGTCCTACTCCTTCCCCAAAGGGATCTGTCTTTGTCGACGTTTCTTTAAACCGCAGGCTCTCTCAGGAGATTTGCTGGCTGGGGCCTCAATCCACAACTCATCAGTTCCAATCCACAACTCACTAATTTAAAGACAATCCCGTTTGCTTTAAGGGAGAGTCCCTTGAAATCAGCGACTTGTCGATTAGGAGAGCGAGCCGGTTAGAGTTTAGCTCAGAAAGCGGAGCCGGGACATTTCCACTCGGATCCGCAACTGAGGGCGAAAGCGAAAGGCTGGCATTGAAACCGACTAGAAATTTGTCCCTAGCATCAAGGGAGTCTCTTGTGACATTTTGGTCACTCTAAGAAAGGCATTGCCCTAACGTAGATTTTGGAATTTGTTTCCAAATGGATACGTTTGAAAATGGTCCCTTCGGTTTTCACGGCGACTTTACTTTCGAAGGGAGTCTGCGTTTAGGGTCAAGCGTTTAGGGATGGCCTCTGAAACAGCTTCAGTCCAAAGCCTACCAGTTTAACCGGTTTGCGGAGCTTTTGCCTATGATGCAGAAATTAAAATCACTCAAGAGGCTGGTTCAGGTGAAACGAATGGGGTTTACGGGCATCTCCCACCCCCAATAAAGGCCGGGGTCCTTAAATTTAGAGCGTCAGAACAATGTTCCAGCGAAGTCAGTGGGAAACACCCCATTCCGTATGTTTTGAAGGGCCAAGAAGGATTGCTTTGGGATAGCAAAGAACAATCTCTCTAAACCAGTTTGTGTCTCCCCTCGCCCCGCGATGTTGCTGAACTACAAAGCCTTGGCCCTGCTGGCTGAGGCTGCCGGGAACTGTAGCCCCCCACCCCTGCCCTAAGGCCTCTCAAGTCGGAGAAGGAAAGTGATGGAGTGGCTCCCGCTTGCGCGTTCCCTTCCTGGAATCTTCCACGGATTTACGGATTCACAGCCATTCTATCAAATAAAGAACGTGTGTGCAAGAGGGAGCCTGTAAACGAGTCGGGTCCTACCTACTGTGATCCCATCTGGAAGAGGATAGGGAAGTATTTCACGTGTCCAACACGTTGGTTTCCCACAGCCCAGAGAGCAACCTTCGCAGGCTGCGATCTTCCGTGGGTATGAATGGACTTGGAACTCAAGCCAACGCTTTAGCAGAGGCTGCCCTCAGAATATTTCCTTGGAAATTAAATCCCATGGAAAGCAAGGACACGGGACGCTCCTTTCCCCCACAATAAGGTGGAGGCAAACCTTCCACAAGTTAACGGGATTTCCCCAAAAGCAACTAACTGCGTTCTTAGGTACACCCTACTGGTTTCAGTGGAGCGTTGCTCCCCTTCGAGAAGCTTAGATCTCCCTTTCCATTCTCTCGGGACGTTGCCTTGATCCTAGACGTGTTTGCACTTCACTGGGCTATGCTTTTCAGGGGCTCCACGAAGTCCTCTTTGGACACACTTTCCCTAAAGTACAGGGGCGGGAAACCTGTGGTCCTCCACGGCTTGATGGGCTACACCTCTTATTCCCAACACCCCTGACCATTGGCCATGGGGCCGAGGAAAACTGCATTCCGACAGTCGCTGGAATAGGAGGAGGAGGCCGCCTCCCTCTTCTTGACTGCTAAGGAAGCAGACTTCGAGAGCAGCTACTTCTGGGGGAAAGAAGGCCCTGCTCCCAACTCAGGAGAAGAGCGTCCTTCTTCGGACTGGGCTTGGGAGTGTGTGTCGTTGTGCTCCAGCGCTCCCTCCCCACTCCTTCCCTCCCTCCCTCCGGGGCCGTACTGACCAGCTCCTTCTTCCTCTTGTCCTCCTTGACGTCGGTCTTCTTGATCTCGGCCTTGAAGGCCTCGGCCTCACCGTTGGCGTCGTCCTTCGCCAGGAGGTCCATGAGGTAGGCGATGTAGCTGGTGGCCAGGCGCAGCGTCTTGATCTTGGACAGCTTGGTGTCGGCGGGCACGTTGGGGATGCACTCGCGCAGCTCGGCGAAGGCGCTGTTGATGCTCTGAGTCCTGCGCCTCTCCTTGCGGTTGGCCGTGCCGCGCCGCTTGACCGGCCGCGGGCCGCCCCCTAAACCCGGCGGCCCGCCGCCGCTGCCCGGGGGGGCCACGCCGCCCACGTAGTGCGCGGGGGGCTCCAGGCCCGGCGCGCCGTTGGCGTACTCGGGGCTGTAGGAGAGCGCCATGCCGTAGTCGGGAGGAGACATCTCCGAAGGGTGGCTGCTGATCAGCCAGCCGTGGAAGTAGGGGTTCTCCTCGTGGCCGCAGCGGCTGGCGGCGGCGGCTGCGGCGGCGGCTGCAGCGGCGGCGGCGAAGGGGTAGCCCTCATGGTGGACCACGGGGTGGTGCGGGAAGCCCCCTACCAGACTCATCGCCGGCGCCCCGGGAGCCCCGCGCCCCCGATCCGGCCCCTGGATCTGCGCTGCCGAGAAGAGCGTCTTAACAGAGGCTGGTGGCCATCGGAGGAGAGCTGCAGAGCCCCCCGAGCGCCCTGGAGGCAGCAGGATCAGGGCCTCCCTCGGCACTCATGCGGCCCGGGAGGTTGGGGCTGAAGGGGCGAAGGAAGACAAGAAAGGGGAGCAGGGTCCTCCCTGAAAAGAGGGACCCCTCCCGTCTCCAAGAGGTGAGGTGGGTTTCCCTCGCTGTCTTTTTTCCTGTGGCGTCTTCTTAGAGGGATTTTAAAGATATATATGAACACAACTTGGGGGGGGGATGTTTACTTACACCTGCATTTTCCTCCGACAGCCTCCCCTTGGCTGGAATGTCCCCCCCAGCTTGCCCAGTGGGTCCAGTTCCTTCTCCTCCCTGGACGGGAAGCGACTCCTGCGGTTAAATCTGACCGGCTCCCATCCACTTTGCTGGCTGCTTCGCAGCTGCCCCACCAAGGAAATCCGCAGCTCTTCCTCGCCCCGAAGGAGAAGCTAAGGAAGAGGACGAGAATGAAGAAGATGGTGGTGCTGGCGACGATGGAGGGGGGAAAAATCAAGGCTCAAAAAAGGCTTCCCGGTCTCGGAGCTGCGCAGGGCACTGGTCGAATTTCCCAGCCGATCTCCATGTACAGCTACATGTTTAGGGCAGCTCGGGTTAATATATGTCGTCAGAGGCTCTCCGGGCCAATCCGGGCAGCCGGGAGGCGGGGCCTCCCTCTGCGGGCCATAAAACTTTTTTTGATCTTCGCGCTGCTAATTGTTCGGCTTCTCTTTTAGGATTGGCTGCGGTTCCTATCCATAATATAATTAAAACAAACGAGGCAAAGGGTCCCCCCCTCCAAGCATCAACAGAGGTTAACGCGAGGGTTTAACAACGTTTCGCTGTAAGTATGCGGGCGTGCATGCATTTATTTGGGTTGATGATATGGAGAGCCAGATGGAGGAACAGATAGACAGGCTGATAGATGTAAGGACTAAAATAGCTGATTATCTCAATTAAGGTGTTCTATGGTTCTAAGGTTTGGAATATACTCTGCGTGCAATATAATTATGTTATTATAATTAATGCACCCGTATGTGAGTATATTTTTTATCACTGTATGCTTGTTTATGATCTTGCAATAGGGACTGTGTTACTCACAGAGTAGTGACAGCAGTAGCGGAGAGGTGATGGATTATGAAGTTACAAATGTTTGTTGGGACTTTTTTTCAGGATTTTTTTTTAGGGTAGTGTGGGACAATCAGAATATTTTCCCCCTAATGAATGCCACAATATGCTATCACTTGGAAGTACCCCCCCCAAAAAAATCAATGAGATCCATTTCTACCTACAATGTAATCGGAATCGGTGTAACAAGGAAAAATTCCCTGACAGTGCAAAATGCAATTGCAGTGGACCTTGTTAATGAGTTTCCTCCCGCAATTCACTTTACAGCAGACTTCTAGTTTGCTTAGGACTTATCCGCAGTTGTCAATCGCACTATGTACGTAGCAAAAATTAAACAATCAAAAACTAGATCGAATCAGTTGCAAAGCGGGGGAATTTGTTTCCTGTCTGTACAAAACAGTCCGTTGCCCAAAAGGCCAAGCACGGGGGTCGGGTGCAAGAGAGATTTTAAGGAATAAATTACTTTTCAAAAGAAAGCAATGTGAACCCGAATCAATTTATTTCAGCAGTTTGGGCGTTCACACAATCCCTGCCTGAACTCATCTTCTCCTTCACTTAGCCAGCCCAACTGGGTAAGTAACCAAATCTTTTTAACAGCGCGTCGTGACCTTATTTTCTCCTTTCACCAAAATTTAAAGATCTGCCTGTCTTTCTCTTGTTTCACCAATAATCATAATACGGAATATATCTATCTATATCGAAATGCCTAGGCAAACTTAAAGTAAAAGGGGTTTCACTTATGAGCAGGGAGTTGTTAAAAGAGATGTTTAATAGGCAGGCCCGGCACAACGCCAGCAGATATAGGGATAGATTTTTGTGCTTGGGAGATGTCGAACACATTGTAACAGGAAAAAGGATCCCCAACTGCATTTCACAGAGAAACTGGTAGCTCGGAGAAAGGAATCTGAGTACATTCCCTGTCTCCTTCCTCCAAGAAGACTCAATGGCTGGGCAAAAGAATCTTTCCAGTCTTGGCAAGAGAACTGGTAGGATTTGGAGCAGATTAGGACGCGGTTCCAAAATCGGAGTTCAACAAATCACCGATCCAGGAGAATCCTTGGAAGGAAATACGATTTCTTTATTTGTGGTCGCTTCCATGGGCTCAAATCCGAGCACATCGGCTTAACTGTTTGCACATCGCAGGCTTTTGCAAGGCCCACGGGGGGGGGGGGGATGTTCTTGGTTTCCTGATATTTTGAGAGAAGGAAGGGCAGATTAAACATGGAGATGCGGATCCATTCCAAGGTCGCTTCTCTTGTCTTCCAGTTTATTGGTTACAGTCTAATCTGAATGGCAAAAGTGAAGGGAAAATATTAAGGCTGCGGTCCCGTGCGCCCTTACTTGAATTATCCTCATTAAAACCCTGCGGCGTTTACTCCCGAGTAAGCATGCTAGGACCGTGGCGAAAGGCTTATAGGTTCTCCCTGCCATGCATCCTCACAGGGACAGCGGTACTGAACCTAATTCAGCTGGTGCATTGCAATGCATAGCACACCTAAGACCGGAGCGTGCCCTCGGCTTTAGTACGAATGGAAATTGAATGAAAGGGCGTGGTTGCTGTTTTGCAGCTTTGCTGTTTGCTTAGGGTAAAAAAAAAAGTAAACAAGTCTTATACTCTTATCCTGTTGTATTCAAATAGGGGTGCAATCTGGTGTACAATTGGATTATGACTAGGATTGTGAACTTTTAACATCAGAGTGTCAGGAACGGTCTGCCGCCGGCGATGATCCTAACACCAGGGAGATCCTACATAATTTTAAAACAGTTCCTCTCGTTTGCTCCGAACAGAATACTGTGCGTCTGAAATAAACCTAAGCGCATGGTATATCCCGGTGGCGTGGGTGTGTATGTGTAGCTCAGTGCGGGAGTGGAGAGCTGAATTAAATATGCAGAGTAAATAGCGGTAGTATAATGGAAACAAACAGAAATATAAGCCACATGAATGTTATAATGGGACGTGCAGATCTGTTTTCAGTGTATTGCGGCGTGTTCCTGTCTCAATCCAGGGCGCTCTCGTGGCTGGCTATTATTCTTGCGAAACCGTGATGTACAACGCAGGGAAGAACACCGAGTGCAATCCTAACCATTCAGTCACACGAGAATTGGGCCATGGCTTTGGGTGGGACTTGGGTCGCGCCCACTTACAGTGAAGGATGGCTGTCAGGAGAGCAGCGAGGATGCGAAAATCCGAGTCCTCAACCGGACCACGGTTGCATCCAAGCGTTTGGCCCGATTCCGATTTTCAGGTCCAGGCATATATTGGTGGCAATCCTATGCCCACAGTTATTCTGGGAGCAAGGCCCTTGGAATTCAGTGTGACTCGATCCCGAGCAGACATGCAAGGCACTGAACTGTAAGACGAGTAACACCCAGATCTCCAAGCAAAGTGATCCCGCATTTGGCCTCAATTGATTTTGTTTGCAAGGAATATGCTTCGTTATGTGTTCTGACGGAGCAATCCTGTGCACACCTACTGGGAAATAAGATCCCTTGAACATAGGCAGCGGGACTCATTTCCTCCTAGAACAAAATCCTTTTAGATTAGGATCTGAGTTGTTTGGACCACAATCCAGTTTTGAGTTTGCGGGTCCGGCTGTTCACCAAAGTTTAGCAAGAGTTCATTGCTCCAGAAAAAGCTATGAGGGGATCTGAATAATAGTTGGGTGCGTTGTGGTTGGTTGGATGCATGCGTTTGCGCGCGCGCGTTAATTAATCAATCCAGAAATGTGGGCTTTGCAGAGGCTGAATGGACCTATTTGTTTGCAGACAATTTCGAGTGCAAATAAATGGCGTGCCATCTCTCAGGCGTGCCCCCAACGCAAGCCTGAAAAACTTAAGAGCGGCTGTGGTGAACCGCTGCAGCTGGTTCCCTAATATCTCCAGGGATAAAAAGCTTTGGCAAGCAAGCAGCAGAGCGAAATGCGACCAGAGCCACCTGAGATACTGATCAGAAGAGCAGCCCGCAAACCGTTTAAGGAATGCCATTTGGGGTGGGAGGGAGCAGCTTCCTTTATCTAGGACGCCCAAACCGCGGCCTTTAAAGCGCCACTTCTTGATTTGCAAAGCGCGCCAATAGGACGCAGCGTCCTGCGGTTCTCAGAAGTTGTGCCTTTATTTATTTACCCCAAACCGCCAGGCCGACGCAGCCTGCGCAGGATCACTTATTTTCCTTTCCCATAGTCTCCTTTGAAATCTTCTGCACACACCGGCATGCACACTCTCTGTGCCTCCCACAGATACACACTCTACGAATAATACTAATAAAAATTGTATGCGCTTTCTTTTCCACTCAAATCCTAAAGGCGTGACTTCGTAGAAATGCGCACTCAACTCCACTACAATGCAGCACTGATTTCTTTTTCTTCGAGAGGTTTATGATTATTTCCAAATATTGGTGCTGCTTAAAAATTGTAAAACAGACAGGAGCTCACGTTCGGTGATAGTAGTATATATTATTAGCTTAGACTGAAAATCTGCACACCTATAGGTTGCTTAAGTAAATGATGGTTTGCAGGAGAGCGGTTGTGGGATTCAGTCGAATTAGAGCAGGATTCTAAACGCTTTATTGCGGACGTGTTTAGGAGGATGGCTCCCAACCGGTTTCAGTTCCAATATTTCTGCTTCCTGGGATGCAGGATAAATAAATAAACGGGGACACAGATGGAGGATGTTCAGAGTTATGGATTGCGAAGCAGGAAGGGGAGAAAAGGAAAGGTGGACGAGCAAAGGAATAAAGGGAAGAGAAAATTATAAACTAGGAGGATGGCTACTGGGAAATGCGCGGATGCTGATCTGGAGGATAAAGAGGAGAGAAGGAAAAGAAGAAGAAGAAAGAAATGAGGTTGCTCGTTTTGCCGGATTCTAGTCCCAGCAATACATTCATAACTGCTTCTTTGTTGCCTTTCAAGGGAGCTTCGTTGTCCTTCTGGCCTGAGCCTTCTCAAACTGGTGTGGAAAAGTAAAAGCAGCCTGGGCGGAACTGGAGCACAGCGGAGTGGATATTCTGCAAGTCCGAGGGAGGGCGCATTTCAGCAAAGTGTGTCACTGAATCGCAGGTCAAGGTATGTCCCTGAGAGGGTCCTGAACTACGGGTGCCGGGAGGGCTCCGCCTCGTGGACGCGGACAAGAGTCCTCTGTGCGCAAGGCGCTGGACAGGTGACATAGGCGGGACCGGCTAGATGGCTGCGTTGGGACCCTTTCGGTCCACGTGCTTTCAAGCCACACATTTATTTCTTGGGAGCCAAATTATTTCCCTTGCCTTCTAACTTCCCCTTTTGCTTTTAAAAATGAACCCAAGTAGGGGAAAATATGTGCTTATATTATGGAGTCTGTATCAGAGGACCGGGCGGGTGGCGAGAGGTGCACTCTTTTGCAGGCATTTGCTTTCGCTTGCAAAACTCATACCAAAGGAGCCTCAAAGACTAACTGAAGGGAATCGAAAACAAAACGCTTTTTGTGTTTTAAGAGTTAGTTTTTATTCGTCCCCCTCCCAACTTATTAACAATGAAGGAGCCGGCACACGGCTTTTAAATTGCCACTTAAAAATGAGTTCTAAAGTCACGTAGCCAAGCGAATGGAGGAAAACAGGAATATAGTGTAAGCTGTTCAGTTGTAGTTTTGATGGGTAATACAAGAGCGCTCTCCCCCTAAGATTAAAAAAAACCCTCTGCAAGCAACGCGATCTGATTGATACTGACTCGGAAGCAAATTCTGAGATTTACTTCTGTGCCAGTTTTTGTTCCCCCGTATTGGCTCCCCCGCTCTAAAGCCGCTCCCAAATACAATCAAACAACAACAGGATGAATGGGACTTGCTCCAAAATATAAGCGTCCGTAGGACTGCAGTCACTGACTTGTACTCCTAAACAGCTTCTTTGGGCTCCCAGTGAAAACAGCAGATACACCAGGCGACAGGACGGTTCCCAATAAGAAATACAACATCTCCAAACCAGGCATCGTGTGGCCCTCGTTCTAATCCACACACTTCGGCACCTGATGTTGTCCTGCTCTTTCTTTCTTTCTTTCTTTCTTTTTCTTTCTTTCTCTTTCTTTCTTTCTTTCTTTCTTTCTTTCTTTCTTTCTTTCTTTCTTTCTTTCTCCCAATCTTCCCAGCGGAAACGACCGCCTGCATTTATAACCTGAATAACGCGCGGATGCTAAACAGTTTTCTTTAGAAGACAATCGCCACTTTCTCTCCCGCTTGTTCGTTCCTACCCAAATTGGGATTCTAAACCGTAGTGACTTTTCGTATCCCAATCAAAACCTGCGTTTAGGATCCGGCTGCCCTGTGCTCTTTACAGCCTAACCCCGAACAGGTTGGTTCACCTGGAAGTAAATCGCAGTGAAATGAAATCAAGTCCTGGGTGTATTAATCGCCTTTGAAACCAGTTGTTCCTCGTTACATTAGCTGGTGGGTCTTGCGAGCGGGTTCTGCCAAAGTTTCAACTCAGCGTTAGCTCAGCCATAGTAAGGCCAAGGAGTAGTAAATATTTGCAAGGTGGCACCTGAGGTCGTGCGCCCTTCCTCTTTCATCCCCCCTACCGCCACACCAGCTGTCATCACATGATGTGTTGTTTGTTTGTTTGCATGTTTTCAACCCCGCCCCTGTATTGCAATAGCAATTCTTTCTCGTCCCCTTTCCTGGGAACTGCGCCCCACGATTTTCAATGAAGGCAAATCATTGCCTTTACCTCCTTCATCAGAATTCGCCACGTTCATGGAGAGAGAGAGAGAGAAAGAAAGAAAGAAAGAAAGAAAGACAGACAGACAGACAGACAGACAGACAGACAGAGAATCCTTATAGGGAAAGATCATAATGCCGACATATTTCTTATAGCTGCATATTTATATCCCGCTCTTCTCTCAGATGCGCTCCATTCGTCACACGCCCAGCTTCTTTGGATTCCCTTCCACTGCAGACGGACTTCGAGTCATTCGCGGGTCGGGGCAGCGAGAGTGGCAACGGAACAGTCTGCTTCCCAGCTCGACCGGAGGGGCTGGATGGATTTAAAGGCTGTCCTGTGACTCCAGCGGGTTTGTGGTTTGCATCTCCTCCTATTAAACCGATTAGAGGCAAGCCAGGAGAAACGGTTGGCTTAAAACGCCACAGAAACAAGTTTCACTGAAGTCATGAGGAAACACTGGCAAGCAAGCTTGATTGTGTTTTAGGGGGGTCAGGCTACAGCTTGACAGGTTTATTCGCAGAGGCTTGTATCATCTTTCCGCCAAACCTTCTTTTTCTTCAGATTATTAATTTATGCAGAAATCCGGGAGTCTTGAAGGCCAGCTGACATCTGGCGGGCTGCATCTCCCCCTCCTCTTCCCTCCCGCCCCCACCCCAGCAGTTCCAGTTACACAAATCGACCAGGGGAGTAGAAAATACTTGTTTGTGGGTGGGTGGTATCAATAAAGTGTCAGGGCTGGCTTGTTCGACGCGCCATCGAGGCACTGGAGCGCTCCTAGGTTCTTAAGCCATTTCCCAATGTTATTATTCGACAAGCTAGAGAACTATTTGAATGTATGAAGGAGTGCCCAAGCTCGCCGCAGATTTAAGGTGCGAGGGACCCAACTCCGATCTCAAGTCCTGTTTGAAATGCACTATGGTACTTAAATCATATGGGCAGAAATTTCTGCCCTGCTGAAGAATCTCTAAGAGAAGTCTTGCTAGGGTGACTTTCGCTTTTCTCTCTCTCTCTTCCTGCCCTCCTATATACAACCAATATGGACACTATATTTAAACAGTTGTTATTTGAATGGTTTCTTTCTCATCTCTACTGTAATGTCGTCTCTCCTCCCCGCACATTTTATAATTTGTCTTGGGCATATTTAAAGGTAAAAATAAAAATAAAAATAAACATCTCTCTGTGATCTTCGTTCCATGTTGTTTTCTTTTTGCGTGTAAGAGTCTACAGACCCATGGCACAAAGTCTTTAGAATTAAGCAGAGTAAATTACATGCGGTTTTGTTGCTATTCCGTGACGTCTTTTTCTTTCAATAATCAAATTTTTGCTGAAGGTGGTAGCCTTGGAAGTAATACTGCTGTCAACATTGACAATGTTTACTTGGAAGGAACTGCCCGAGCTTCATCATTTGGCGGGGGTGATTCATGAACTTCTTATAGTTGCGCACAGCAAATATTAGTTGAAATCAAAATGAGTTGTAAGCAATGGTAGTCCTACTCAGAGTTGGCCCATTGGCATCAATGTGCCTAAGTTAGTCCCATTCGTTCATTTCACTGGGTCGTTTCTGAGTAGGAGTAAGGTTGGACACAGCCTAATGGATCTTGCAACATGATGCGGAGATCCTAAGCACGTTTACCAGGAAGTAACCTCTTCTGAACAGAGTGGGACTTACTTCTGAGTAAGCATGCAAAGGTTTGCACAGTAAGACTGCTCACTCAATAGGATCAATATAAGATTATTGTTCTAGTCAAAGGCCATGACAAACTCACAGCAACAGTACCAATAAAACAATGCAGATCATACAGCCATAATGTGTGCCAGCATCCATGAGGTCCAGAGACTCAAACAAAATCCAGTTTGATTTCAAATTAAATCTCCGAATCACTACAATTTAGGGATTTTATCTAACCCCCTTTCCCGGATTTTTAAATTCTATTTTATTTTTTGCAGCCACTGCATAGAGGGCCACTCAGGGTGTTACCAAGCTAATATTGTTACTCAAAAGAAACCGGACCATTTCTGCCACGGTGTACCTGTTTGCTTGTGTGAACGAAGGTTTCAGAGTGCTCAAACTAAAAAGCGGGCTGGATGGTATCTCCATTTCAGATTCCCTAAGGATTATTCTGGCATTACAGTGAACATATGTATTATGTACAAACGACCCTGGAATCTTTTGATGAAGGGATGCCTAAGAAATATTTCAAATAAATGAATGAGTGAATTCTGCCCCAACTGCAAAATGCGGGTTGACAATATGTGGATCACGTCTAAGGTTGCAATACAAGCGTTTGTGTGAAAGAGGATACACTTGTGGATTTGTGCAGCTCAAGGCATTGTGACTGCAAGCACACAAATTGTACACTATATAAAATGTGTGAAGACCCTTGTATTCATACATGCCTGATTGTTGATGTTTTTACTGTTAATCGTCTTGGGATGTTTTATGAGAAGGAAGTTAGAAATATTAATTATTTCATTATTATTTATCTTCGATAATTAAGGACTTCAGCCTTAATTAATTGGGAATTACTTCCAAGTAAAAGTATACAGGATGAGTGAGGCTCGATGACGTCCATTGGGAGAAAACCACTTTACAGATTCCTAGAACTTTAACGTGGGCTGGTGGGTCAACCTGCATTTTACCTCTGAGCAATGAACGCTCATTGCTTTCAGGTGCGTTTGCTTCCACGCATGTTGCTTGGTAGGTTTTCTTTTGACCCCAGATCAACCAGTGGTATGAAATTAAGTCTAACCCAAGCTCTCTTTGGGAGCTGCAGATGAAACGGCGGAGGAATAACCATTCAACGCCGAAGGCCCTGAGTCTATGGGAGCGGAAGGAAGATGAACAAATTAAGACTCAAACTCTAAATATATTCACCAGGAAGTATATACCAGAAAACCTAGTGCGAAATATTTCAGAGGATTTTTCTTAGGGGGGCAGACCTTTTGTTGAGGGGGGCGCAGAACCTCAGTTTGCTATGTATTTTTATTGATTTTATTGCCCTTCCCTGCCCCCCCTTGGCCCATGTCACTGGGTGATTATGGAACAGTCACACTCGTAACCTAACCTACCTCACAAGGAGTATAAATATGGTGGCTTGGGAAAATCAGCTAGCTCTTCTGAGATCTTTAGTAGAAAGGCGGTATCTAAATGTAATAAATAAATTTATCTAGAGGGGTGGATGGCTCCCCCACTGCATGGTCCATCAATTTCTGTGGGAGAAATAATGAAGTATCTGAAACAAACTGCCTAACCCATCTGTATAATGATCCAAATTTTATTTAATGCTAGAAGAAATGGGGGTGGGTAGGATTATTGGGTTTATTTTGAGGTTTTATATTTTGATTTTGTTCTGTGAACCGCTCTGAGACCCTCCGAGTACGGGGCAGTATATAAAAAGAAACAAAGAAAAAAACGGGGCATCACTTTTTTGTTTTTGAGATATGGATATGTAGCCCCCCACTTGATTGACTGAAAACTTTTTTTTAACCTTGCTCTTCAGCAAAAACAAAACAACAGCCACTCCAGAACTAAAGAAATAAACTTGCAGACCAATAAACACAAGACATGTTCTCATATTGGGAGGAGGGGGGAGGCAGGAGAAAATAAGTACTATATCTAGGGACCACTTTTTAGTCACAAGTTCTTTTGATGACCAGCTGGGATGGAAACCGATCAAGAGGAGGAGGAGGAGGAAGCGAGAATTGCTGGTCTTTCAGCTGCACCAGTGGAGTGGTCCCTGGGCCCCTGCGCCCCTCCGCTTCACCCGCTTCTACAGCCTGATGGAATGGCGTGACAGCGGATGGAAGGCGGAGCCTTGCTTCTCAGCCGTGCGGACGACGGCCTTGCTCCCCTTCTCTCCATCCTCAGAGCCCTGCAATTGTTAACAAATTGAGCGCGCGTTACCTCATCTCCCCTGCCAGGGTTCTTGTGCCTTTAAGGGGCGCGTGTAGACAAGTTCTGCCTGCTCTGTAACGGAGTGATGGCAAGAAAAAAGTGACAACCCTAGCTGCAGATTTTGAAGTTGACCTCTAGGTAGATCAATATTATGTGCGTAATGGTAATAGCTAAGAAAAGTAAAACATGGAGAATCGCTGGAGTCAGACGCCGACCATCTTTTGGAAATACTACAAAACTGTCTTGGGGTGATGGGGGCTCTGATTACAGTGGCGGTTAAACTCTTGGGGAGGATTGGCAATCCTAAATTTGTTCTGCACTACAATATTTCCTTGCTTTTGGCAAGTTTGTATTCCTACACGACTTGATACTTCATAAGAGATCCCTTGCTCTATTTCCCCCTCCCCCCTTGACACATCTCACGACTAGTGGTTAACTGGGCGCCTTTTGACGTTTGCTTTCAGACCTCGTTTTTGGATGAGCGCGGTCTCCTTTGGGTTCACGCTAGCCTTCTAGAACAGGGGCGACTAAACTATGAATCCGAACCTTGGGGCACGTGAATACAGTTTTACGCAAGTAGCGCCCGCTTCTACCTGCGCGATCCCACGGTGCTCAAACCGACGTGCGTTTTTTAGGCTGAGCACGTTGCACTGGCGAAAGTTGAGTAAGGATCTGCGCTTCCACACTCAGAGAGAGAGAGAGAGAGAGAGAGAGAGAGAGGTGTCGGCGTGCCTATATTTGCGTATCCAACCCTTCCCTCATTCGCCCCCCTTCCTCCGTCTCTCTCTCTCTCTCTCTCTCCCTCTCTCCGTATCTAAATGTAATTGATCTGGCTGAGTGAGGCCGTTGTGGTAATTTGGATACACCGAGTCTCCAGATAATGACATATAATCAGACTTCGGGTCACTTGGTCATTCTCTCATGACAAACCCCTCCTGCTCCCTCTGATCTCCTTTCAAACTAAATTTCACACAAACAAATAAAGCAAGACAGGGCAAATTCTTTTTTTTTTTTTTTTAAAAATATAAAAAAGCGGACACACCAGGGAATGGCAGTCTGGGGGCGAGGGAGGGAGTTGGGAAGAGGAAGAAATATTAGAAAAAAGTCTGTTAATAAAGAATAGTAAACACGCTCGGAAAAAGGGAAGAGGTGGGGGAATATACCAGGGGATATGTATATCTGTGTGTGTATGGAAAAGGACATACTATCATGAAGAGAGTCACTGTGTACAAAAGGCGAAAGGGGAGAGCAATGGTCTGGCTCATGTTAAAAATGACATAAATTAAAATAAAAAATAATTACAAACAGAAAAATGTCATAACGTAAACACAGAGAGGCTTACTGGAAAAGCGGCGGGGCGCGCTGGGAGCCCTCCCTCCTTCCCTAGCCTGCCTGCGTGCGCTTCCTCCTTTGCAAGGCGCCAGCAGAAGGCGACCCCCTCTCTCCTCCCTCCCCCTCAGTTGGAAACCCGGGAGGCTGCGGACCGAGCTGAAGTCTTGCCGGGTGTGGGTTTGTAGAGCGGTTGAATGCTGCTGGTGGCGAAGAGGGAAATCCGGAAACTAATCCCTGCTCCCAAACGGAAAAAAGTTGGACAGGTAGAGAGAGATAGAGAGAAGGGAAACAACAACAACAACAACAACAACAACAACAACAACAACAACAGCACTTCCTAGGGGGTCGTTGGGCCTAAACTCAGTAAAATCAGGAAGAAGCAGTGGCCCTTTCAAGCTGGGTCGGTGGATGAACTGTGGCTCGCCAGATCTTGTTAGGCTGCAACTCCCATCATTCCTGACCATCGGCCATGCTTGGCTGTGGGGCTGAAGGGAGCTGGAGTCCAGCAACATCCGACAGGCCACAGTTTAGCAATCCTGCCTTAGCAGTCCGTCTGTCCCCTGCATGTACACACCCACACCCACCCACTCAAACCCACTCAGAAGGTAACCCCATTAAGTTCAATGGGACTGACTCCCTGGCAAGTGGTTGCTTTCTTCTTTTTCTTTCATGATCTTACTGTCTAAATTATGCCAATAAAGGCTGGCTGGCTGGCTGGCTGGCTGAATGAATGCACGGTTTCCAGCCTTACCAGGTTATGATGGCATCAAGTACTGTAGGCAAGAGACTACATCGTCAGATTGGACCTTGAAGATACCAGTGGATGGATAGGCGGACATACAGAAGTGGAGAAGGACTGTATTGCAATGATTATTATTATTATTAATAATAATAATAAAAAATCAATGAAGGCACACTGGCATCAGAAAGAGCCTCCAGCCGCGAGTACACAATTGCCACCCGATTTCTTAGCTGCATAGAACAGAATAACCTTTTTGAAGCGTCACATTTTCATTGTCAAAAAATATAGTTCAGCTTGTGTGTTTTGACCATCCTTTGCAGTTTTAGCTTTCCATTTCTGCTTGTTGGAGAATATCTTCCTGGGATCAAGCCGGCTGGAAGCATTTAGGCAAAACAGGCAGGACTACTCCCAGGAGATATTCTGAACATACGGGGGTGGGGTGGGGGAGGAAGTCCCATTATTCATAAGTCCTACTTAGGATCGGGATGTTAAATTTCGCTAGAGGAGAGAAGTGAATCAGTGAAATGGCAATAATTCTACGCCCAACAAAAATGGCAATGTACTGGTGACATCCAAGTAAGTCATATTCAGAGCAGACCCACTGAAATCCATAGACTAACGTTGGTGATCACCCACACATAACAAGAGAGAGACATTTAGATAATTTACTCAGTTCTGATGGTCCAGCCGTAAACAAACTTTATTTGTGAGAAAGTTCAAGTGGATGGAATCTCCACTCTACAATGGTACCTCGGGTTAAGTTCTTAAATCGTTTCGGAGTTCCGTTCTTAACCTGAAACTGTTCTTAACCTGAAGCACCACTTTAGCTAATGGGGCCTCCTGCTGCTGCCACGCTGCCGGAGCACGATTTCTGTTCTCATCCTGAAGCAAAGTTCTTAACCCGAGGTACAATTTCTGGGTTAGCGGAGTCTGTAACCTGAAGCGTATGTAACCTGAAGCGTATGTAACCCGAGGTACCACTGTACTGTGAAATCCTGACAAAGCTGCATTGACTGAAACAGATCAGAATAGTTCCCAAATAAAGTAGTTTATACTATCTACCAACCTACCAACCCCTGTCTCTATCTAGTTACTCCAGAAATAGCAACTGTTAGCTCTCAATAAAAAAAATCCGCGTGTCAGCGTAGGCAAAAAGTGAGCAGTAGATAAAATGCAAGGAAAAGTTTGGAGGAGTCTTTTCTAAATGCAGGCATTGATACATGCTTTAAATAGTTGCTTTCAACTGTTTTAATTGATCATATCATTGTTTTATTATTTTTGTAAACCGCTTTAGTTATTTATAAAGCAATCAAGTGGTATATAAATTTTAATAAAGATAAATGAATGCAGCTGTTTACTCCTCTGTTTTCATTTTGAACCTGGTATGTATGTTTCTATGTATGTATCTAGAGAGAATATCCACTAGAAATAGTAACTCTTCGCGCGAACCAAGTGTGTAAAATCAAACGATAACTTTCGCAAATGAACTACAGTATGGTCGAATTTTATATCTATATGGTCGAGATCTTCAGATACACACAAGAGTTTTTGCTATTCCCTTCCCAGAAAGGCTTGTACTATTTAATCCCTTTATTCTTTTCTGAACAATTTCAGGAAAATCAGACTCAGCAGATTAAACCTCCTTCCCTTGATCCCGACGTCTTTGAGGCTTACTCAGTGGGCATTCTGCATTAAAACCATTGGGAGAGGAAGGCAAATTCATTACGAATTCTCACTCCCCCAAAAAAACAACCGAGGAAGCAAAGGTGCGTGGGCAGAGGATGGCGTGGGAGTGGTTGAGAGGTCAGCAACCCACGTAAAGATCACGGTCCTGAAGGCAGTTTAAGGAACAATCCTGATATCAGTAATCTAGGACTTGTATCTGCACCGAAACCAACAGGATGGATCAAGGTTTGAAGACGTTTTCTCCTGCTCCGGAGGGTAGGACCTAAACCAATGGCTTCAAGTTGCAAGAGAAGAGATGCTGACTAGAAACCAGGGAGAACTTTCTGACGGCAAGAGCTGTTGCACAATGGGACGGACTCCCTCGGAAGGTGGTGGACTCTTCTTGGAGGTTTTTAAGCAGAGGTTGGGTGGCCATCTGTCACGGATGCTTAAGATTCCTGAATGGACTAGATGACCCTCGGGGTCCCTTCCAACTCTACCATTCTATCATTCTGAGTACCAGATGCTTGGGGTTAGGCGCTGGCTACGCCATCGGAGAGCGAAACGCACTCCGCGTTCATCTTACTTTATTCAAGCAACCACAACAAAGAGTTTTGTGGCATCTCAACAAGTAACAGGTTTCTTACGTCATAATTCCCCCCCTTCATAGCGTATGCTTCAATAGTTATTCTCAGTTGACAGGGACGTAAAATGGGCATATGAAAGAGACAATATAAACAATGGGGCCAAACAGCCATAAAACGCCGAAAGCGCAGTCTGTGGTAATTCTATGAAAAGGGTCACCTAAGTAAACTGACTGCAGAATTAAGCTTTACGATTGAGGCAGACTGTCTTTTTTGTGTGTGTTTCAGGGCCATTTGACCCCCACCGCTGATTACAATCGTACGTATTAATTTCCCCATACCGATATTTATTCCACAACTTTCCTATATTTATATGGCAGAAGGATATCACCTGATGCATCTGATGGAGCGGGCTCTGTCTAGTTCGAGGTCTGCTACATTAAATCTGTCAATCTTTAAGATGCCACAAGCCTTGCTGCTTTTCTTGCAGAAGACTAACGCGGCTGCTCTTACTGTTCACCTATTGAACATGCTGGATCCTAATACTTTCCGAAGGGTGGTTCAGTTTGAAGCCCCGGTTTTTTTTTACTCGGCGCCATTATTCCAGGAAATACGACGAAGACCCGCCTACGCGCGTAATCTCGTTGAGGAGCGCCTTTGGGGCTGGTGATTCCGAGGACATTCTTGCTCAAGCCCCGCCCACCGCGTCCTCTGAGCCAGGCCCGGGCTCTTCGGCGCCCTCGTGTTATCTAAGCGCGCATGGAATGAAGAGCAGGCCTGTACTTTCGAGGACCTGTTAATCCCTCCAGAAACCACTCAGAAAGCTGACCTCGCCGGGTGGAGTAGCAGGTTCTGTGGACCGGGAAAAAGTGGGCATGCTCATCATTTACAGGCATTTTCCACAAATGACACCCACCCGCACGCCTTTTGAGTTTTTTAATTGGGCTTTGGAGGTGGTTAACCTATTCCACGTACTATATAAATGCATGCACTCCAATGTGCACATGTGACACCATGCTGGCACATGTATAAATGGGCAACACAACTAAACGACTAAACAACAAACAACTTGTATAGATTCTCACATTTGGTGCTAAGATCAGTGCAAAACCACTTTTAATTTCCCCTCCATTCTCATCAATATTGCAATGCAAATCAATTGAAGCAAGAACCTTGCTAGCCTGCTGTGTAAAACTGCCCTTCACTTTCATGTATATTATATCCATTGCAATACCATGTATATTAAATCCATTTTATTTGTATTAATTATGCAGAAAATGGGGGAAAACTGATTTAGGTATTCATCGTGAAATCAGTCATATGTTTGAAATGTAAAACTCAGCCTTAAGCTTTCTTTGTCACAATGACCTAAGGCAGGGTCTTTAGAATTTGAGGTTGCAATGCGAAACAGATTTACTAGACCACAGCGCCACCCACGCCATCCCCATTGTGGGGATTTGAATCTTCTGATCAGCAAGCCCAAGAGGCTCAGTGGTTTAGATCACAGTGCCACCTGCATCCCTACTAGGGGGTAAAGTGCACTGAATGCTGTACAGTCATATCTTGGGTTACAGCTGCTTCAAGTTGCGTTTTTTCGGATTACGCACCCGCCGAAATCCGGAAGTACCGGAATGGGTTACTTCCGGGTTTCAGTGGTTGTGCATGCGCAGAAGCGCTAAATCACGCTTTGCGCATGCGCAGAAGTGCCGAATTGCAACCCGCACGTGCGCAGATGCGCTGCTGCAGGTTGCGAATGTGCATCCTGCATGGATCACGTGTGCAACCCGAGCGTCCACTGTACTTGTTTAGGGTTGTACTGCAAGACAAGGGTTGCAACACTATGCCCACTTGCCTATTGAACTCAATTGTCCTGTTAAAAAATAATGGTGTTTAATTGGTAGCAGTTTTCATCATACAGATGTAATTGATTGCATTGGCAATACCTTCTTTTGCTAGTATACTTTGAGCACATCACTGCTTTCTGTTACATTTGTATATTTATTCAATGTTCTTTATAACACAGTTCCTGGATGGAGATACAGTAGTACCTCGGGTTACATACGCTTCAGGTCACATATGCTTCAGGTTACAG